AAAAATAGAAATACCCAATCAATTTTGATCCTCCAAAGTTGTAATCCTTGCCCTAAATGCCTCATTCTGGGGGCCCAATTTTCGTTTCTTTTCACCCTCCCTTCCGTGGTCCTTTCCTCCGGAAGGATACCGTTTCCTCTTCAGGTTGGTTAACCTGACCTTACTCGTCGCCATGCAATCTTTCGCGAAGTGGTTATCTCTACCACAACGGAAGCACTTCCCTTCCTTTTGCCACTTTTCTTTTTCGTCCTTGGTGACACCTAAGTCATCCGAGGCCTTGGAGTTGTGTGCTGGCGCGGAGAAAGTTTTCCGAGGTGCGGGGTTGCGCGATTTTCGCCGTTCCGATCCCTCCTCACGAGGTTTCACGACATCCTTGCCACGTAAGATTTCTTTCCGGGCCTTTACCTCGTGATCCTTACGTCCGACCTTCCTAACCCATGCCAGCCATTCCGCGAAATCTTCTGGTTCCTCGATTGCATTCGAGAGGCGTTGTTCCAGCGAGGAGTTTATTCCTGTTAGGATCATGGATTTCATTACGATGGGTCCGACCTTCGCGTCCCATTCCAGATTCTGCATCTCATTGATGTAGTCATCGATCATGCCAGTTTGACGGAGCTTATCCATTTTCTGCTTGGCCTGTTCCTGACTGGTCCGATTGCCGTATTGAATCCGTAATTCGTTTTTGAAATTCTCCCATGTCCCGATGCTGGGGTCTACTGATAGCCGTTCTACGAAGTTTCGCCAGAATTTTGCCGGACTCCCGGTAAGTTCCAGGGATGCCCACAGGATCTTGGTCTGGTCGTCCCACCGGACTTTCCTCTGAAGTTCAATTAAGACTTCCATTTGGTCGATCCAGTGCCGTACGTCTTCGTCGGCTTTTCCGGAGAAGGGGATTTTTGCCTGTTTTGGCGTATCTCCCAGGGTGGCGCGAGGGGGGTGCATGAGGTCTACCCCTTGCTGCCTATTACGGCGCCTCCGCTCCTCCCGTCTTCTCTGCCTTCGTTCGCGTGCTCGACGATCGTCCTCTGAATCGGAGGAGCTGGATGAGTCTGAGGGGGATGGGTCTCGTGGTCTTGCGCGGCCCCCGCCGTTGCCGTTATTGCCATTGCCTCCCCTGCCTCCTTGTTCACTTTGCTGGCTTCTTGCCTCGGAGCAAGGGGGTACGGGGGGTTGGCTCCCTGATCCTTCCGGTCTCTCTCCGGAATTGCTAGGGGGGTTCTGAGGGGGTTGGGGAGGTACTATGCCTCCGCCTCCTGAGCCTTCGGGGGCTGCTGCCGTTCTATTGGCTGCTACCCGCATCTGCTCAATTATCTCCTCCAGGTTCTTCTTCGTACCTGCGAACTGGTCTTCCATCGCAGCTTGTCTGTCCCGTTCCATCCTTTCGAGGGCAGCCATAACCTCCGCGGGTATCTGCACAGGGCCATCTTTCGGGAGTTGCTGAACGAAGTTGGTCAGCGCATTTATGTGCTGATCCTGTCGCTCCTGCCTTTCCTGATGAGCCCTAGTGGCTTCCACGATCTGTCCGAGGACTTGGCCGAGGTTGCTGGTAGCGGCGGTGGATTCCGCTCGTAGCTGAGCCATGACCTGGTTGAGCTGATTGTCCCGCTCGGCTCTGTCCCCAGCGAACTTCGCGTGGAGGTCCTCGACGATCTTGTTGGTGTACTCCTGCTGCTGACGGGTGAGTTCCCTGAGGATGGGAATATCCCGCACGTGCATGCTGAGTTCCTCGATCCCACGGCTGAGCTGCTGGACCACGGGGGCCCCTTGTCGCTGGACTTCTTGCCCAATAAGGTCGCCAAAAGGGTTCTCCACCCGCCGCTCCTCTACGTCCATGTTGGTATCCTCGTCGTCGTTCATTACCCGAGGCACCGAGGGCCTCTGAGTAGAGGATCTCTCTCTGATTGGGGTGACGTATGGGGAGAACTCCCGGTGGTCTACCTGCCGCCTCCTCGCCTGCCCATAGGATTCTTCCTGCCTGGTCGATGTGAAGAGGGAGCCTATCGGCACATCTCTCTCTTTCCTGTGGCGCCTCTTCGCCTGGGTTTCCAATATACCTCGATCTCTCAAGGCGATTGAACTCTCCATGTTGTAATCTTCCTCCGACCGTTGCTGATGAGCCCTTGACATCGCTAAGTTGCTCGAGTTTGAGCTGTGGATGCCTTCTGCACCAGGGTTGAGCAATGAACCAGGGGGCTGGATGAGCAAGTCCGAAAGACCGTTGGGAGAGAGTGATCTTGATTGGGAAGAGTTCTGGGTAGTTGAGGATTTCGGGGTCGTGTTCCTCAAAGGTAATGGTAGTTCCTGCTTCTGCGAAGAAACCTGTATAGTGGAGGTATCCGCAGTACAGATGTTCGGCGCTTCCTCTTCGTACGATGAAGGATGTAGCGCAAAGGTGGTTATTGATGGCTGCTGTTGCCACTCGGGGGTGCATATAGTACCTTGGTCTTCCTAATAGACTAAGCGCTTATTCTTCTACTGAGAGCACGGTGACTATCCGCCACTAAGCAAAATACTCAGAGTATTGGTTTAAGCGAGTAGTTGTCTTATCGAGACTTTTTGGTAGTGTATGCGATAGGTAAAGAGTAAAAGTTAGGGATAAGGCACAATATAGTGTTTCATTCCTATAAGCCATACATTTGAAAAAATTACCGCCGATTACAACAGTAACTATGTAAAGCGTACTTAAGAAATAAAATCTGGCTTTGCTCTTCAAGTATTTCAAGGATCTCTAGTGTTTCCAATAGCGTAGAGTAGGTAGTAAATACCTCGCTAAGAAACCCGCCAGGTCCAACTTGCAACTCATCAAACAGATATTCCTCAGAAATCGGCGGTCTCTACAGGTCTTAGCGAGTCGCTGTTCTGTAGTCCCCTATTCCTTTCGGATTCTTGACTTGATGGTTGATGATACCCTCAAGTCTTCGCAGAATCAAGCCCTATTTATACATTTTGGAACCTATGCCAAGGCCCGCTTTCTAATACTAACTGACACAACGATAATAGAATAAGATAATGCTCCCGAAGATAACCCAGATAGAAAAGCGCCCCCGCATAGTTCCGTCCTCCATTCTAATTCCGACACGTAACCCTGAACCTTGCAATTGCCAGTCATCGGGCTGTACCATACTATTATCCTAGACCTACTTCCCTAAGTAGAACCGCCTACAGCCGTAAGCCCCGCTTCCTATTCTATTCCGGGTGAGACACCCAATAGTAAGCGTGCCGTCATAACAGTATAGTACTAGTGTGGTAACACCGCATGCCCCCACACTACCCGATACCTTTCTATGCTGGTCCTTTGGTTACCCGACCGTCCTCGCATCACAACCCGTCACTCGTATTCCTCCTTGTCCTAAGCCTCTAGAACAGTGTTCCGTAGTTCCTGTAACAACATCTTTCCCCATAACCCCGGGAATGTCTCTTTGGCCATGGCCCGCAGGTCCCTTGTTCGTCAACTAAGCAGGCCCTCTTGGTGAATGATAACTATTACGAACTGTTAGCCAATTCCTGTCTCAATTTGGTAAACAGGCAGCGCTGATATTCTGTTAGATTGCCGTACGTTGCCTGTATGTATGATTATACATGTGTAAAGATACACTGGAATACCGCCAAGAGTATGTATATTTATAGAGTAGCGATTGGATAACTTCCATAGGGATTTGAAGGTGATCTGTACTGTCTTAAGGTGTTCGGATTCTAAATCTGAACGGAGGGGAGGAGATGTATTCTGTAAAGGAGACATCTTACTGGTAGGTCACAAATATTTGTTGCTAGCCGTTTTAACCTTGGACAGAACTTCAAAACCGCCGGTCTCCATGCCGCCTTTGACCGGCGATATGTATATGAATTGTGGCGAGAAAAGGTATACGCACCCCTATGCTCTACGTACGTTTGATTCGAGCTCGGTCAGTACAGTGTGTACGTATCCTGAATCAAAGGCGGGCATGTTTGTCACTAGCTAGGATCAGAAGCATGTTAGGTTGATGTTTCTGGATTCGATCACCTCATTCGTATACGTACGTAGTGGTGTCCATGAGAACATCTGGATGCATGCGCCATACATCCGAAGGAAAGGTGCCAGGTACGTGTAATGAGTCCGCGACCTGGAAATCGGGGATGTGGTGGCGGTGATGCCACCGGTGAAGGAGGTAGCGGGGCAGCGATGGCGTCGTGGCGGCGGGGAGGGAGATAGATGCCCTGAAAGATTTATTGGCTAGCCTGCATGCAGCGTGGAAAGGCAATTGCAAGCCAGCGCAATTGACATGATTATAGGCCAATCAGAAGAACAGAGACGAGGCACGTATGGTTTAATACATAAGTACTCATGTGCGCACTCTACCTCTGCATCTGGAAAATTCAAAACTGATATGCTGTTTTTGTTGATGCATAGGGCATCATGGATATAAGGCTCATAAATAATATAATGGTTACATACATGTATATCTACGCGCGATATATATATCGAGGTTCATGAATTTAGTGGAAGGGTAGCGGCGGGGAAAGCCGCTAGGTTGTACGTTGCGCCGATGGTGGTAGCAGCTTGAACTAGATCAGCTACATGTACTTATACCTACATGTCTTATCCCTTCGTGCGTTCTCAAGATAGCTAGTAGAAATGAAGCTTTTCGGTCAATTCCCGTTGTAATTCACCTAACACTCATTCCACGACCCTCTTCAGGCTCAAACTTACAGTCCGTGATCTCTTTTTCAACAGGTCCCTCCACAGATCTCCCATAGTAATTTAATTCTTCTATTATAGGTGGTTCAGCAATGCCAGATCCTGGCCATCCCCGTTTGGGCCTTCCTAATCCTTGGTCTCGTTCCTGAATGTTCTCTGAGAGATGTAGTTACATATCACTTCACGGACACAAAATATCCCTTTCTCTAGACTAGCGAGCTTTCATGATTCTCCAGGTAAACATCATTTGAAGAGCCTTTTAAAACAACTCCGTACACGATTCTCCTACCTATATACAATTTATTTCCTCTCAACCACACCCCACCTACGCCAACACTTCCACCCCCACCACATCCGGTGCATACTGCCACCCCGGCGCCCCCACAACCAGCGTATTCCCGCTCCCCGCCACAAACCCATCTAGTAGCACCCCCATCCTGCCCGTATCCTGCCAGTCGCCCCCCGAGATCGGGAAACTCCACATCTTTGGCGTTCCGCCGTTCACCGCAAACGTCGCGTTCCTGACATTCGTGCCGCTGCCGTCCCAGGCGCGGTCGAATGCGAGGTCGTAGTTGATGTAGTCGAACCACACCCACTTGGAGCCGGCCACCGTGCCGCCGGAGACGCCGCTGAAGGTCATGGTCGAACTGACGGCGAGGTTACCGACTTTGTAGTTTGTGGGCTTGCAGCCGTCGGCGTCTGCGCACTTGCTGAGTGAGGCTCCACCGGCGAGGGCCGCGGTCTGTGCGGAGTAGTAGACGGATGCGGTGGCGAGGGTAGTTTTGATGGTCTTGATGGTTCCTGTAGAGTCTTGGATGCGGAGGGTGTTTTGGCCGGCGGGAAGGGGAAGGCGGGGATGGTGTAGGTTGTGCCGGTGACGCTGACTGTGCGGCGCGTGTTGCCGGCGATGACGGTGATCGTGCGGGCAGCGGTAGAGCTGGCGGAGCTGGTGACGACGATGTTGTAGGTGCTGCTGGTGAGGGCGTAGACGTTTGCGAATGCGGTTGTTGTGCTGGTGGTCATTGGTTAGCAGGTTAGGGTGGGATCAATGATCGTTTTGTGGGTAAATTGGACTTACTTGGAAGATGTGTACTTGGGGTTGACATATGTACCCGCCGGTGTTGTCTGTTCCAATACTAGCAGCTTCACGCCATGGCCAGCGAGAGCGGCACTGTATACGCCGTCTAAGGCACCAAGGTCACTGGCAGCCCAGACATCCCTCGCCTTCACGGCGCTCGAGATCCCCGCGTCTGCAAGATTGATGGTCACAGTCTTTGCTACGGGCGCCCAGTTTATGACCATGAGCACCGTACGGGCATCCGAAAGGTTTCCAGCCCATACATCATACTGCTCCAGCGTGAACCTCCGCATGAGCTTCGCCGCCTGGCCTAGCGAGTCCTGGTTGATGGCTACCAACTCCTTGTTGCTAAGGATCTTAAGAGCCACAGGGTCCAGTAGATTTGCCTCCAGTCCTGCACCAATCATCAACAGCGACTTTTCCACACACCAAATGGTGAAATGGGTCTTTGCCTCCTCCTCGGTGAGCACGCCGTTACCAACCATGAGCATGTCCATGTCGTTGTAGTGCCCCGGGGAAGTGTATTTTGAAAGCGGGACGACCTGATTTGTGATACGGAAAATGCTGATCCAGTTATTGATGATATCGTTGGACATGCGCCACGAGTTCCCAATCGGCCCTGCCCACTCGGGGAGGTCGTCTCCAATACCCCACTGGCAGATGGCATAGACGATGTCGCGGGAGACGGTGGCGAGGGCGTTGGCCATTGTCTTGAAGCGCGTCGAGGGGTCCTCGTTGGGGAAGTAGACAACATTGTTAACGCCGTCAGCCCAGCAGTTGTCGCTGTGGTAGGTCAATGATCGTTTGTACCACAAATATTCATGTAAGGGGGACCAATAATTACTATTTCAGATAATCGCCGCCCCACGCTGCAAAGGTTTCCGCATCACTTTGCTCATGTCCTGTACCATGGAATCAGTATCATCCTCATCTATCTTAGGGAGAACGGGGATTAAAACCTACCTAAACTCGCCTGGATATGGTACCCATTCCCGGCCTCTGGATGACACTGCCACGTTCCGGCCCCCGAATAGATCCCAAACTTGAGTCCCTTGTCATGCACATATTCAATGAGCGCCGGATATCCGCTGGGATAGAACGTTTCATTCCACGTGATCTTCCCGTCTGCAGTACGCTCCTTTGCGCTCCACCCGCAGTCGGGGACAACATAGTTGTAGCCGACATCAGCGAGACCGAGGGAGACGAGGGCATCGGCATTGGCTTTGATGACTGCCTCAGTGGCGTAGCAAGAGTAGTGGTTGTACGAGTTCCAGCCCATGGGAGGTGTCAGGGTGCGGTCGACATCGAGGGCGGAGGTGAGGGTGAGGAGAATCCCCGCTGCAAGGAGGGCGGTTGGATTGAAGGACGCCATTGGTACCGTTGACAGATATTGTGGGATGGCAGGTCGGTGTGAATTCCTCATGTTTGATTGGTATCGAGGTATTTATACAATTCCTCAGCAAGCAGCTCCCCCACTCCGATCCATTAACCAATATAGAAGGTAACTAGGCTTCGACACCGGATGCTCTCCGTCGCCGCTCCCGTTCCGATTATCATCTACCCATCATCACGTCAATTGGACAATACCATCCCTCTTCAGGTCATCCCCGCCAATTAACCCGAGCACCCCGACTCCACCATTCCCCCGACCCCCCGAGAGCAAGGGCGTTTAACGTTTCCTGCCTTTTATGGTTTCCCCGCATTCAATCTAAAAACCTTTTAGGCTATTGGCGATATGCCCTGAGATTCTGCACGCAAGCGATCAAGCAAGGTACGGTACCATGATCATTACCGGGTTGCCGTTAGTGCCCGGACAAGGGTAAGGCTAAACAGGCGCGTGGCGTTTAGCCGAGCGGTGGTGGCGCCGGAGGCCGTGGATAAGGTAGATCATCCTAAAGGGTTAGCAGCTAGCTAGCTGGGGTAGGTGTAAACAATGCGGAGAAGGGCCGGGGTGTGGTGATGGATGGGATAGAAGAGGAATTTCTCCGGGATGGGTGATGGTTAAGAGGAAGTGCACTGTTGTGAGAATTGGGAATTTGGGAGTGAGAGTGGCCAGATATTTATATGGATTTTGGGTGATGGTGGATATGTGTCGTTATCTAATTCAAGCTGGCCCTTTGCGTTGTTCTCCTGTATGGTTGGCCAATTGGGTGGACAAGTGTGGCTTTCGTCCAGCCACTCGATCTTGTTAAAGTCAATATGCCCATGCCGATGGACTATCATTGGCTTTTATTTTAACCTTGGGTACGTTAACCTAGCTAGCCAGTGACATACCTCAAAATCTAAATTTAATATCCCTGCAACCAGAACGGATAAAGTGGAGCTGACTTTATTAGGTCGTGGAGAAGAGGATCTGAATAGTTGTAAGTGTGCGAATATATAGCTATTGTCTAAGGTATAGTGCTGAACGAAGTTACTACCTCCTGAAGTGAACAGCCAAAACGTGGTTAGGTAACAGGAGCCCCCAACCATATATCATTCACGTTCATTTTCATGAATAGCATTCGTTGAACACAAAAAGTGCCCTCAGATTTTCCTTCCAGGATTGCCTACAACAAACCCTGACCCACCGTCAATTGCTCGACCACATCCCTTAGGTAGCCATGCAGTCCAAATTAGAATCCCGACCATGCTCCACTAAACGCACTTCTTGTTCCAGTAACGTTTTACTGAGCGCGCATTATTATACTCTTTTGGTCATGATTCTGGCTTGAACTGACTTTCAAATTGCAAAGCGATAAATTATAAACCAGAAGCATTAGCAAAGTGAGGAAGAGACAAAATTATACAATTTATCACTCAGACCAGCAGGCTCGATCTAACCTATTGGGATCACGAGTCGAACAAAGTAGGAGTATAGTGCATATATGAACCCCGTGGCCGGAGGTGGTACCATATCGCTCTCGCAATTTGATAATTTCCTTGGCGTGATGGTATAAGCTTTCTTGGGTTCAACGCATTATACCCGGTGTATATCTCCATTTACACCAGACCTGAGAGCCTAAAAGGACCTACTAAGACTGTTTTCTTTCTTTCCTTTCCTCTTCTTCTCTCTCCCTTTTCTTTTCTTTTCTTTTCTTTTCTTTTGGCCGCTGTATACAGCTACTTCTTGTATATATATACCCTCTTTCGTGCCTAGTCTTCACGTTTGTCGGTTGAGTAAACACTCTCGACTAACGCCAAGACTCTACTACGGCGGTTTATGCATCAATGGATGCATTACCCATATTAAGGAGGCAAGTAAATGCATCAATTGATGCATAACCTGTCATGAGTTGTGTAAAATCGTATGGTGGATGATGCATTATCGATGCATTATCAATTACTTTACTGATGATAATCTGCCAAGAACGTGTTTACTGACGAGTTTTGGGCAGAAATTCGTGTGGAAACTTATCCAGAAAATCGCCCAGAAAATCGTCCAGAAAATTGTTAGCGGTTAACGTTAGTAAATACACCTGTTAATGTGTTCTCGGGTGACTTTCCGAAAGGCTTTCCGCACAAAACTCGTTAGTAAATGTGTTCTTGGTGGAAAATCACCAGTTAAGTCATCGATATGTCGTCTGAAAACTCGTTAGGAATATCACCGTCATCATATAGACAAGTGTTGAAATCTGCTGCCCGACAAGGTATTTGACATCCCTCCCAATTTCAGACTTAGTGAAATTTCTATCTAAATATTTCTTATGCCTTAGGTGTACGCACCTCTGGCAGGTGGTTGATATAGCACTGATTTATTCCCTCAATATATCAAACGATGATAGCTTAAGTGGTACGACGTGGCATAGTTAAGCACAATAGTACAGGTTTGATTCCGCAATTGTATTTTATTTTTATACCATCGAAATTCAGAACACATTTACTGATCCATATACTGACAAATTGTCTGACGAATTGCCTGACCAATTGCCTGAAAACTTAAATTGATAAAATGATCATTAAAATCGTAAAGTGGGACTGGTGATGCATTAGTTGATGCATTATGCAGATGCATTATTCCGTGAAAACATGGGATACATTTACGGATGCATTATCAAGATACATTTCCCACCGTAGTAGAGAGAGCGGGCTGTGCTTTGAGTTTTTGTTGATCTCTTACCTGATTGTACTGTGTTGTGGCTTTAAGTCTCACCTGAGGTGTGATTGACAGACAGGGGTCTCCCGCCTAATAATTGAAAGCTTGGCTGTCTTTCTTTTGGTTTGTCCTCAACACCCAGTGCCCGTGAATACCTAACAGATTGACGCTTTACATTAGGATAGACCAGTCGAGTTATAAATAGATGGTTTAATTCAAACAGATCAGGGGAGAGGGTTTCTGATCAATCGGAGAATATCGGCGACATTCTTTTCTTTTTCCACTACCACACACCGCTATAAGATCGAAGGCCAAGGCATCAGGATTAATAAAAAAGCTTATCTCAATATTCCAAGTACACTTCTAAATTGCATGTATGTCCAGCGAATATATGCAAGAAAGTGTAACACAAACATGGCCATATTTCTGAGACCGATCAGTAACGAGAACATAGAGAGAACGCTAAAATAAAATTAACAATATCCGAATCGCACATTAACGTCAGGCCAACGGTAAAACACAAATAACCCTAACCCCGAGAATACGACATTTACCAAAAGGAAATCAGGGAGTGCCCGAGGAGGCACTTTGACTAAACCAATTTTTGATGCGGCTGTTTATACCCATCCGAGACTTTTTCGAGGGCGTGGAGCCAACCGACAACCCTGCCTGCGAGTTGGCCGATGACCAATCAGAGCCCACTGAGACACTGGAGCCGACAAAAAGCTGGGAGGACGGGTTTGGTTTTGGACTGTATCTACCAAGTTGTGGGTTCATCTCGTACATAGTAGGAGGCGCGCTCCGGCGACTTTCAAGAGGGGGTATGGCGGTGTTTCCAGTCTCTAGTTTTTCGAGAATGTAGGTAACTATTTCACTGTGCCCATTCTCCCCTGCGAGAGAAAGGGCTGTGGCCCCTGTGTTGATCGTGGTCATGATATTTGCGCCTCTAATAACAAGATGTTGGACCGCTTTTAGCTGTCCGTTTTCCGCGGCGAAATGTAGAGCATTGTAACCGATAAGATCTGTTTCATCTATTCTGAAACCTCGTGACATGAAAAAGTCAATCATGGGGATATACCCCCTCGCAGCCGCCACCATTAAAAGGGTCTGCCCGGAGTCGGTCACACATCGGATATCTGCACCTTTCTCGAGTAGAAGTAGGACGGCATTGACGTTTCCTGATAGAGTCGCAAAATAGAGGGGTGATCGATTATCATTTGACGGCTCCTTCACATTCACTCCTTGTTCCAGAATAAACTTCATCATTGGGACATGCCCACTCTCTGCTGCCCGATGTAATGAGGTATATCCTTCATCCGTCCGGTCGCCGATATGTGCTCCTTGCTGTAGCAGATACTTGACTAGGTCAACATTCTTTGACGCGCAAGCAAAGTACAAGGGCCTACGAGCATCTGGCGTCGTTTCATCCACACGGGCACCATTTCGCAAAAGGTAGATAGCGCTAGGGAGATGTCCTACTTGAGCTACCCTTTGCAGAGCCGTGATGCCGTGAATGTGATCCCGATGCGAGACATTTGCTCCTTTAAGCACCAAGTATTTGATTATTTCTTCGTTCTTCGATAGTACCGCAAAGTCCAATGACGCTCTGCCATCGGCCGATTCCTCCATCACATCGAAACCAAGTTGTATAAGATAGCCAGCCACATCGATATGGGCTCTCTCAACTGCTGTATGCAAAGCGCTAAATCCCTGTTCTGAGCGGTGTTTGGTATCTGCTCCATTCTTGAGTAAGAACATGACACACTCCAGGCTTCCCGAGATGCCAGCAAAGTAGAGGGGATCACGGCCATCTAAAGACCTCTCATTCACGCTGGCACCATGGGCAAGAAGAAACTCCATGGTGGCAAGATGTCCTTCCTCGGCCGCCGTGTGCAAAGGAGTGATCCCCTCTTTATTGCCTTGACTGATAGGTGCGCCTCTTTCCAGTAGAAACTGAGCAAGCGCGAGATGGTTTCCAAAAGCCGCAAGGATGAGTGCTGTTCTCCCTTGATAGTCTAGTGAGTTGATATCGGCTCCTCTATCGAGCATGCTCCGAACAAGCGTGATATCGCCATGGGCTGCTGCTGCGATCATTGCGTCTTCTTTCGGTCCTAGTACAGTCGACCTATTAGCCGGTATATCACAAACAGAAAACATTACAAGGATGAGCCATAATTTACCTTTCCGTGTGGGTCTGGGGATTGTCGTCGCCTGCGGTTTCTTTGGTGGCTCTTTCACTCTAATCGGTTCAAAGCTGGATGGCAATTTTGATTTATGTGTACTCAGGAAGGTGTTGTGGGGTTGGAACACGGTTTTATCCTCGTTCTCCTTTTCTTGCACTACTGGCACCGTGAGGTTTTGCTTGGCTGTAAATGAGCTAACTATGCTATTGCTCGAAAGTATGGTCCAGACGGTGTCATCTCCTGACTCGGCTGCAATCCAAGAATGCTGCCGTGCTTGTTCCGCAGTGACTCTGTCAGCGGGTAAAGGCATCAACACACTAGCCATGAAATTGACGGCCAAAAGCGAGACGTTCCCGAGATTTTTGGGAGGGAATGTGATACGACCCTCAACATAGTCGATGAGCCCTTTTGGTTCGGGGAATGGAGGCTCCTTCGTGAGCATGGCGTAAACCATGCAGCCCAGGGACCACAAATCGACAGCTGTTGTATAGGTGCTGGTATCGCACTGTATCATTCCCCAGATCTCAGGTGCCATGTACTTTTTACTACCAGTAAATGTCCGACCTTCGGTTATGCCGTCAAAATGCTTCGAGACCCCAAAATCAGCAATCTTGACTGTGAGTGGCATCCACCTGGCAATGAGGATGTTCCCTGGCTTTAGATCCCTGTGGCAGAGGTTATTTCGGTGCATGATCTCCAGTCCCTCAAGCACCTGGACCGTAACAGATTTCGCATCGCTCTCGGTCAGTTCCTCATCTTTCATGAGAGAGCCAAGATCACCACACTCAAGGAACTCCATTGCCAGGTATATATTGAGTCTGTCTTCAAACCACCCCGCGAGCTGGACAAAATGTTGTGGGTACTGGCAGAAGAACAGAGCAAAAGGTCAGCCACGAGCGGAAGTAAGCTGGAACGTGTAGTAGAAGACGGTATGTGTGATCTTTACCGAGCTAAGTTTCATCAAGACACCTATTTCGTTTGACTTTGCCAGCGACTTCCTGATCTCTTTGACGGCCCGAATGGCGCCAGTCTCATGGCACCTTTCCTTATGGACCGTACCGAACCCACCTTCCCCGAGCTGCTCGAGCCTCTCCCACGTCTCCACCCTGCTAGGGCTGGCGAGAATAGTGTGTTTAATCCCTCCATCAAGAAACTCGGTAGGGAGTTTGTACTTGTCGAACCGCGTAAATGTAGCCATTGATTCTAACAGGAGGATTGATCAGGATGCACTTCTATCGAGCCAGAGGTGTTATGGGTTGCGTTGGATTGATTGTAGATCCTTCCTGGGCCCGGGGGCTGAACCGTGTGGTGGCATATATATTCTGATCAGGCGTCCAATCATAAGTTCTTATCGGCACGCCTTTTGATAAAGAAAGCAATTGTTCTAGGACTGGCTTGTTGGTTTCCGGATAGATTAATGCAAATGCTACTTGGCGTAAAAGTGCTGATTTCCCTACATATATGTAGCTTAGTTAGGTATGTACTCGCCAAAATGCAGATCTGAGATGTGTCAGCGTTACACGGTAACCCTGGTATGAGAGACAGTACGAGACAGTACTTGCTGCAGGTTGTGGTTGGTTTTGACTCTCGGTTGGTTATCAAGTTAAACTCTGTCAAAATGAAAGCCCTCCTTATCGAGGTTTCATGCGACTCAATGTCCCGTGTAGCTACAGGTATAAAGTGAGGTACGATAAGGTCAATATTGAGGAGTTTGGGTTACTAAACGGACATGTACGTATTTCTTGATTTATCTCCTTCCAATTTTACAGCCACGTATCACAACGCTCTTTTTCTCCTTGCGTTTTCAAACACACTCTTTTGGGGATTATAATCAAATCATGACAAGCATCTTTACCATCAGCGCGGTGGTTGAAATCATGCAATCACGTGATCAGACTTCTAAATCTAGATTAGTCCCGTTGCCGGAGAGAGTCTTGGGTCGAGTGAGTATCAATGAGCCAAGACCCAACATGCCTAATGTGTTTGACTATTGTATCTAGATCTACGAGTATCACATTCGCAACCCATTTGCTAAATAGAGTGGGGTACAGAATGTGATATGTGCAGCTTATAATACATGCACGTTAATGCTGATCCCTACCAGTGCCAGCAGACACAGGATTTTATAAGAGGCACCCCACAGCACCTCCTCTCAGCCATAACCAACGACCCATGCACTTCCTTGCGCTTCCGCCGCACCACAACCTGCCCTCAGACCAAGAAGTAAGTTTGCATGTTCGAACGTCTTTTCAATCAACGATAGATCTTCCTCTAACGAGTCTTCAGTTCATTAGCCCCATCAACATGTCCGAAATTACGCCCACATCACATGGCATCATTGAGGTGTTACGATCGATCGTTGCTGCGTCCTCCCATCTCCTTTCGCCCGCCGAGCGCGACAGGATCACAGCCGAAGAGTCAGCTCGCGCGTTCGCCCTATTAAATATAGCAGCAGATACCGCCTGGCAATGCGCGCATAGAGAAGAAATAGACTCAATCACACGGCTCGAGGAAGCAAAGCGGTGCCAAGGGGAAGTTGCCCCGGTGGGAGGGGAGCAAATTAACCACGCTAGGAAACTGGAGATTATTAGAGCCGAGGCGGACAAAGTAGCGGAGGAGGCGGAAAGACTGAAGGTGGAAACGCTGAAGATAAAGGCTGAGGTAGAAAAGGAAATTTCCCAGAAGGAAAAACTTGTGGTGGAGGTCCAAAGGGTGAATGCTGAGATAGCAATTTGCCAACTACGCCTTGAACTTCATAACAAAGGTTGGAAAGGTTGAAGCTCTACAATAAATACACCAGTACTTGAACTCGTTTTTAGTTATGAGTATCTCTACTCAAGTAGTGCACGTGGAGCTTTATAGTCCAAGCTTGCCCTCACAGGCTATCAACCGGATCCTGCGAGGAACTCAAAGAGGTGTTCTTCTCCAGAAGGATAAGGCGCTTGAACTTGCGATGATCAACATTGAATCTCTATTTATTGAGGACCAAGTCCGTACACGTCTGGCGGTAGTAAGCCAAGGTTCCTGAGATGGAACGGACTGATACCCTTACCCAGAGCTACCAAGCGAATTCTCTAGGCCAGGATAGGCCGATTGGAGCGTAGAGCCCGGCCACCCATCGAGGTCGCTGAGTGTTATATATTCTGACCTCGATCATGGTTAAGGCTTGCTTGATCAACAGGACAGAGTTGACGACTGCGCAGCTGCACGGGGGCCCATCGTAATCTCCCAAGTTACAGAGAAAGATAGTATTTTTCGGTTTAATTCCAGAAGAGGAGATGATTTCAATCGAGGCGTTGACATCTGTAAACGGCTTCCTCATATCCTTTTTACTGTTTTGATTAATTGTTCTTGGGTTAAACCCCTAACCCTAGATCTCCCCCACACGGATAAAAACATGTCATGGAATGGGCATTGGATGGCTTCTCTTACGTGTCCGAATAGCAGATAGTTCTTGCTATAGAGATATGGGTGTTGTGCTCGTTGGCTCGTGGATAATATGTACAGCGCGATGCCATAAGTCATGGGAAGGCAACCAAACCACACCAAAATTCGTCTAAATGAAACAACCACCCACAACACAATTGCCATCAATAATAAACAAGGCTTTAGGGGATAGAATATTGGCTCATAAATTTAATAAATCCAAAAGGGAACTCTCTGAAGTCAAATGTGGAAGAAGTTATATGAGCTAGAAGTAGAGCAACTTGGAGATTCAGTTGCATCCCATACAAATATGCGTTTCTTTGCAACTCAACGTAACAAGACCAACACAACTCATGCTAGAAGTGTAATATTATAATTTTCAGTTGATAGAGCGATTATTTGTATGCAAAATATATAGTCCTCCAATTCTCAGAAATAATTCAAGATAATTGGTGGTCAAGGACTATATTGAAAAGTGGGATTCAAGTTTTTGGTGTAAAATGGGTGCCTTCCCATGACTTATGGCCCAGAACTATCCCCTGGTCCGTAGCGATTTCGGGCCCATATACGGGTCAGTAATTCGATCCACAACAACACCCCGGAATTAATTACAAATATTCTGAATGAAATATATAGTATATTAGATGTGGTGAAAATCATAAGAGCAATTTCGTTCTTTAGAAAAACAAAGGGGTTCATTGCAGGTAGTCTTTTTAGGATCTTCACCACTGCCTTGACTTCCCCGCCATCTACACAAAAAGCAATCAACTCTTGACTCCATATAAATGGGTACTAGTAGGTGTTTTTCATAGCTATTTCTGATTATTGGAAGGGTAGTCTTTTCAGTAACCCGTTGTTTTTTATGGGGCGTTGCTGCTACAGTATCAAGAGAATGCTTTCGCCGAGCCTTGCCAACTTGAAGACCGGAGATTTCTTCAATTCCAGATTTAATAAGTGACTACGCAGCCTCCAATCTGAAGTCCAAATGATTGATATCATCTTTCATACTGTTGTTTGCATCTCGGCAGATGAACTATATTCCGAATCTACATGTATACATGCGTAGCTAGAATTAGATGCTTGGGCGAAAGGGTGCATTAGTATATACGGCCGATTTATTAGGACAAGGATTATGCGTTAATACCCTTTCAACTGTGAGAGTTGGTAGATCCGCCAATACGCAACGGCCCTTGTTCGTTGCAGGCCAATTGGACATAATCATTAGTTCCTATGCACCCTATAGATGGAAAAATCCCTTGTAGAAAGTCGGTGTTAACACCTTGAGTGGTTGAAAGTTCGAACCTACATGCTCCCCCGGTGTACTAAATTGCCACAGACTTTGCTATAAGTAGGTTTTCTCCCCATAAACCAAGTCTACACATCACCGGACAGCCCGATGAAACCTATGTCTTGGCAGCCCTTTCGACCCTTTTACTGGAAAACGTAGTTAAACCAACTTGTTATTATACACTTATTTTCGAATATATTGCCTCCTACCTACTTATATACTTGAAATACTAATGTCGGCCAATACCGCGGCCGGGAGTCTCTGCATGTTTCGGTATATTCGAGAAAATGGAAGAATTCCGATCTTTTGATGACTGTAGAGCTTTCGCGGCGGATATTTATCATATCCACATATAGTACTGTAGCACTGGTGCAAAACTAGACCACACCACAACATTCCTTACCCTCTCGCCCCCCCCTCCGCCTCACTCTCCCGTTCAATCTCATTTAATCTGACTCCGGTTTCTTCGCAACAACATGGAAGCTATTCCCCCAAACACAGATTAGCAAACTTTTCTTCTTGTATAGCATGGAAAGTTTAAAGTTAAACTCACAAATTTATATACGAGTGGATCTTCCTATCCCTGGTATCCCTGATGGCGCCTGCAACCAACGTCATCACCTCTTCATTCGTCATTCCCAACACCCTCGTGAACAGCGCCATCGAGTATGCTTCAAACCCTGTCTCGCAGCAGATCTGGAGATACTGTCCGACCTTCTTTAGCCCCGGATTCCTCGGCCAGCCGCCGAGGGGCTGCTTCTTGATGTGGAGCTAAACATATTATATCATTAGCAGATATTGAGGCTAGCTAGCTAGCAGTGGGGATTATATAAACGGGAGCGCGTGCCTGAACATCCACAAACCCGGCCTCCTGAACCATCCTCTTCATGGCACGCCCCACGTGCTGCGGTAATCCGCCAGCCTCAAGCGCCTCGCCGTATAGGCGCATTATTATCGCCAAGGAGGACCGCGCGGGAATGCTGTTATCGTCGGATTGGATCCCGGCCTCGAGCTCGGCGACGTCAATGTAGCCGCCTGGGCGTGTGTGTTTGTACATTTCCTCAAGATATTTAGGCCATGATTTAATTGACTGCATCAGGTTGCGCGAGTGGATCAGGTCGAAATGGTCAACGGGGAAGGTCCAAGGCATTTCGGCATCGTCGACTTCAAAACTACAGTTCGGGGGTACCCTTTTTAGTCATATGATGTTAGTTAACGTTCAATGCGTCGAGGGGGTATTGAGATGTACCATTTTGGTTGTATGGGGCTCAAATCGATACCGATTACTTTGGCAGAGGGGTGTAAACTATTGTTATCATACTAATTTAGCATCGGATTGAGGTTAGGCGAACAGGATTGGATCATACTCTGCCATCTCGATAGCCCAGATCCCAGTACCAGTTCCCACGTCCAATATATTCTGCGGATTCTCCCCGACTGGCGCAAGGTGAAGTTCACCATCTAGGAGAAGACCGAATATGTGGTGATGCATATCAAGTCTAAGACATATTAATAAGTATGCCAAGAAAGAAAGAAACCAATCAAGAGGGTTCATGTGCAATTACCGATCTTGTTCGGTCTGCATCCATAGTAAGTGATTTGAAGCTTGAATTCATACGGGGGTAGAATAGATATATAATACATACTTCATCGTTCGGTAACATATATGAGCCTTCTTTGTATCTGTGATACCTTCTACCATTTTCGTAGATATAGTCTATGATGGAGGATTTCAGACTCGTTGTGTCGGTTATTCTATAGAAACTTGTTAGGCCGGTTTTGGAAGGATATTGTAATGGCACGAGAAGCATACAAAGAACTACTAGTATAGTCTGAATCGGATTGATTTGCCTAGGGGTAAATGATCAGTCTACAACGTTACTAGCAAGACGAGTAAAGGAGAAATATCAAAACACCCGATACTCAGGTAAACTCGCTAAATAAATTGCAATTGAGGAAGACAACATACATAGTCTTGATCAACAGCTAGTTCAGGTCCAGAGTTCGAAGCTTCAGCCATCTTTTGTGGGTTGTGTCAGGAGTTTAGTTGGAAATGTTTCGTTTCAGGTGCGAGATACGGATTAACCTTTTAAAAGAAGGGGGGGCGGTCGCTTTATGTCTTTATTCTTGCTGGAAATCTCGGGAAAGAGGCCGACACCCGTTCTGTCGGGATCCACAGAAATAATTGGTCCCACGTGGTAAAATGCGTAAATCAAGATAAACTAATCAATCTGCGGGGAGTGAGACAGTATTCATCAGAACCAAGCTTTCTACAAGCAGTCAGGAAGCATAAATATCTCCGGGAATTTCCCCTCACCCACACACATCCGGAGCTTTAAGTGTCCACCGCACACATGCCCGTTTTCCAGGATAGGTGCCAGAATATGCATGTTTAGTGCACAGGCACTACACCTTTTCAGGAGATCCCTATTACCGGTAGACCAAGAACGGCTTATATAAATAACAATTAGTTTTCGAAATACGCGGTGTTCATTAATATGAAAGAAGAAATTCTGCTCGCTTGGCGCCCTCAAAATCAGGGTGATTATCTCCTAGGATCACTCTTTCGTTGCCTTTAAGCGCTTCATAGACACATCCATCTGGGATTAATAATTAATATGCATCAGGGAAATACCAGGGTTGTACTATAACTACTTATGCACTTATTACATGTAGTATTGGATAGATATGATGTACTTACCATGAGGGATGAAACATGGGTTGGCATTCGTGTGGAATTACTAACATCTATGAGCTGAAAATTTTCTTCTCACCGAACAATGCCGGGTTTGATTGCAATAACCGACCAGCGTATACCTATGTATGCCCGACTGCCTATTCATGCCGCGGCAGTACATATGAAGTCTCCCCACACACGCGCACACGACCCATTGTAACGGGACGACGACAAGGACATGATTGGCTGTCCAGTCGAGTCCTCGGTACTGAGGAGAAAGTCACCGAGGCCAGGCATATCCGGACCTAGCCATGATGAAGCAGTGGCCCAAGCTTTCCTCGGGATCGACTGAGTGTTTGCAGCATAAACCCTGGCAATGTGAAATCCGGCTGCATATCCAGAGCGGGCCGCCTACCTACCTCATCGGTGCTCATGCAGATATTTATCGATTAGGTATCTAAGCGCGGCCGAAATAGCCGGGCCCAGGCATCCTGGTCAGGCAAAAAATAATCGGCCACCCTCTCTTTCCGCGGTTAATCAGTCGCCACGAGCGGAACGGACGGAGAGCAGGCGCCCGTAGATATCTGTTTGGAAGAGTGAGCTGCCATTGCTATCGGTTTGAGTGATATTGGTTGAAGGCTCACGTATCATCCGCGAGTACTGTTGCATGCAGCAGAGGTTTCCGGTGCTCAATATGGAGTTCTCCTCATGGATAGGTAGCAGAATGAGTTCGTTCAAGCGGATGGCCGGGTGGATTGGTCTAGGAGGTTAGAGGACGTGAGAGTTGCAGAGTATACATTATGCGCATACGTAACTCTATGCGATTCAAGCGACTTGTCACAAAACATACGTTACATACATCCTGATTTATACTCTAAGGCACTGATTAGTAATCCTCTCGAGTGATCAGTTATCTTTTCCCGACCGCGTGTTTCCTCCGACCTCCGACTTGCTCGATTGATATAGGTACTTGTATGGAATAGTTGGGGCATGGGAGCTCTCAACTCATGAACTCAAACAATCACAGCAGTGAACAGAGGCGCACCACAAAGCCCGCGTTTAATTCGAAAGAGGCCTATAGCTACATACATGTAGATATAGAGTGGGGTATGTCAATCACTTCATCCCGCGAGGATTAGACCTTATACGAATGCACTTACATGTAGTTTAGGAAGAGTTCTTCTGATGGTAAGTCTTTCGAACAGAGATTTAGCGGGGGTCGAAATAAGGTTTCGTGGGTTAGGATTGGGCGCTTAGCAAGTACCAATATCAAGCTAGCTAGCCGTGTTCTTGTATCGTTCCTCTGTACACTTTCTGTATCCCTCCATCGTCCCCATTCCCTCTACCATCTCCCCATCACTCTTTTTTATCAATATCATCATCCTTCTATCCCCGTTAGCCGGTCAATCATCTCCACCATGCCGCCAAACACGAGCCAACCACCGCAGAGAGACGAAGACCACCGCATGGTGACTCGTACATTCTCTGTGAAGGTATGCACACCCCACGACAAGTCCATTTTGGCTCGTGTAGAGTCGGACACCGCTGGTTAACGTTATAAGATCCCCGCGTCCTGGACGGCAGCAGACGTGCAAACCGCGATCGATATGTGGATCCTATTCTTCCCGGGAAGACGCCCCTCCCAAGTTTCCGAAGAAGAAGGAAATGCGTTCGTTGAGAGTGCCTTCGCAACCAGCCAACCCGCCCACGGTGAGTTCGAAGAGATACCCCCCAACCTCACCGAGGACCTCTACCACCTCGCCAAACGCACATACCTGCGCTACTTCAAGATTGAAGCGCCCAACACGCTCATCGAGCAGGTCTACGGCAAGAACCTCAAGCTGAAGAACCCGCGCGGCTTCCTCACCATCAAGAAGCGGATGATGGCCCTGATGGTTTCGATAAAGTCGAACACGCTGCTCAAGTTCTACGCCCATGTGAAGGAGGCACTGGAGAAGGGAGGGGAGGCCATCCGGAAGTGCAGGGATGATGCGACGATTCGTCAGTTCTTTGCGGGGGTGTTTACGATGAAGGATGTCATGGGCATCTTCTCGTGGGCGGATTCGATCATTGATATTGAGAGGTCGAGGAATAGGGTGAAGAACTTCATGTATGGTAATAATTCCCTTTCCGCTATCCTCCTACTCCCTCTCCAATGACTAACCGGCATATCAGGGATTTACACCAACATGTGCACGAAGATCAAACACCACCTTGACGATCCACTGTGCCCAAAGTATGACCGTCATGCGGTCCTCGCCTTCTGGGACAGCATCGGCCAAGAAAAGGCATGGGACAATATCGATCTGAGCCATTTTGCCCTGCGCCCAAGAGACCTCAAAAGGAAAAGGATCATGCCAAGCGGCGGGGCCGGGAAGGGTCGTAAGAAGAACAAGCTCGGGGATCATGTCGAATGGGAGTTGCCGAATGTGGAGGAGGGGAAAGAGGGCGAGAAGGTGGTTGAGACGAAGGTCAAAAAGGAGGTTAATGATGGGTAGGTTTGATTTGATACTGTTACACTTGCTCGTTAGTGAAGAGGTCGGAAGTCGTTAAAAGCCGTTAATGCAGCTAAGTCTCTACACAGTGTCCCGACCTTTCACTTAACGCGTGAGTGATAATACTCTGCAGAAGGATGTATAGAGGTGATGTAGTAAATATAAACTACATACCCTGTAGCTTTTAATAAAGAGATTTGCTGAATGTAATAGACGGATACATCGGAGTACATCCAACAAGGCTTATTCTTGCGGAATAGAGCATATACGGCTTAATGCCCGAGCACATGAGTCGCCGCTTTATATGCGAGCGGGAAACAACGCTGGCAGCTTCTAGGGTACCAATGATGAGCCCAAATTCCGGACAAATAGCCTGAGCACACATGGAACCCACTTGTAGCTCATCTTCTCCCACTAAGTCGACAAGAAACAATAAAAAACATGCGAGTGATATTCCATAATGCACCCCCGCATACCGATCCCCTCTAACAAAGCACAGCTGGAAGTTTGTTTGCTATGGTACTAGAAGAGCATGCATAATGAACATTCCCCCTGAGTCTTTCATTATCTCTCCGTTCGTAACTTCATGTATCCGGCTTTCTACTCCCTCATAGTCAATTCTGGATGTGCGTGGAATGATCCAGCCCTGGTTCACGACAGATCCAAAGATTGTTTAAATACCAACCATCACCTCCCCTCCCCAGGTAGTAAGCTACTCCTCACAAGTAACATAACCACACGTACCAAGCAACTCTCACAACTAATGGACAGTCTATTCATCAGCCCGCCAGACACCCCCGCAAAAATGCCTTCCAACGTTAGTCCCAACCCCAACCCCACCAGCGACACCCCCTCTCCGGATCCTGCTGCTACAGCCCTACCACCCAGCCCCACCGCACCCACCACCACAACCACAACCACCCCCGCTGCTCCCACCTACCAATACACCGGCCCCGTAATCGTCACCAGCACCCCCGTCCCCCCCACCCCCAGAACACGCCGCCCCCGCGCCGCCAGCATCGCCCTCGCCACCCCCGGCCCCACCCCGCGCTCCGTCCCCGCCAGCAGCATTCCCGCGCACCTCGACCGCAAAACCTATGTGACCGCATACAAGCACGGCTTCGCGCTCGCGATTAGCGCGGTGATGGATGTGCTCGATGAGATGGAGGAGGAGGAGGCGAGCGGGTTCTTGGGCATGATTGAGGAGGCGAAAAAGGCGTTGGAGGAGTTGCAGTCGGGGGCGGATATGCTTTGGGAGGAGGAGGAGGTGGGGGATGGGGGGATTTAGTTGGTGGAGGAAAGGGACTGAGGATAAGATGAGTGCATGTGCGGGTGGTGTAGCGAAGTAGTACTCAGTGTAGTCTTTGGTTTCTTAAGGGTACTACATTAGTAGCTAGGTAGAAGATAGTGTTATGAAGTAACGTGTTTCACCGGGAAAGCGATCATCACCGGGAAAGCAACCGAAGCTCACAGAAGGGCATTATGAGCACCAAAACAATACCTATGAAGCCATACATGTTCTTTTGGTGTTTTTGACTATTTCTTATGATCATAGCGAGTATATAGCTGTGGGAGGGTCATCAAGCCTTGATGACCCTCCCACAGCTATATACTCGCTACCTATTAGTAACAATCATCAGAAATATTCGAAAGATATCTCAAAATGACTTTAGTGTATTTAGTTCTGTAATTCTGGGTGATTTTGAATTTTCACAGCAATTCGCGATCCCGTTCATGTCATGCTTGATTGCTTTCGCAATGACGATTGCGCTCCCGGTGAAACACGTTAACAAGCAATTGGAATTGCCACATAACTTTAATTTCTCTTGACCCCAACCCCACCGCCGGAGCAGTTGTTAATCACAACCTCTCACTCGGCGAGTGATCAGCAATCACGTGACCGAGTGACCGCCTGTGAATTAGTATGGCGGACGCGAATATGTGCACAGGTCTCCATCTCTCCACTGTAACCGATACACACCATACTCAACTCATATCGGCTTAAAATCAAATGTGAAGTAAGGACCTAAGCGTCGACGTCATTAAGCGGATCGATGTTCTGGCCCGAGTGCGCTGTGATAGGAGTCGTTAGTGTTGACGTCATTTATGTGAGAGGTGCACGGTGCGTTATATCGCAATCGTTGGAGCTTTGCATCCGGGTGTGGGATAAGATCATAGTAAGTTTGCCTCATCAAAAAGATCAAAAGGCTCAACGCTCCAAATCTTGTGGTGTCATCCTTGATGTGCTGTTGGTGTTATTGATTGGGGTATATGGCCCCATACTATAGGTATTATCCCTGCATCTGCCGAAACAGCAAATTGTTGTGTGGCTTTACTACATAACAGATCCCGTTATCTCTCCCATCAAGTAATCGGGCGGCATCTCTCGAGGAGGGGTACGTACAAGTACCGGGTGTTGAGGGTAAGTGATCAGAATCTCATAATGTTGCGGTGAATACATGTATTTGTCTTATCAGATTCTGATCACTTTTCGCTACACCCTAGTACAGTCGGTTCTGGGTCAACGACGAACCCGGCTCGATGACGAGTGGCTACTTTTTGGGCTGATAGTCAAAGCAAAGGGGCCGAGACGCTTTTGTTCACTTTATTGGCTCCGATTGGCCTATTCGCCATCAAACTGGTTTCGTCGTTGACCCAGAGACGATTGTACAGATCAAACAATCAATCTGTCAGATATCAACTTGCGGCCTCCAACCATATGAAGACCTTCCACAACTTAGTTTGGGTGGAACAAACCTCACCTATACGCCTCTGTGTCGGGAATCGGTGTTGGTGAAGAATAGCCCACAATAAAGACTCACTCGATGCGTTGTTGGGCTTGATATAAACCCACCATTTCCCTTCTAGACAAGTACACCCACATCTTCACCCAGCAATCCGTTTCACAATCTCCAGTACGAGCTATTGACAACTTCTTCTTCTCTGTACCCACATATTCACCCACCAAACTACACCACTAGCTCTTGCACAAACCAAACTCCCATCGTCCACATCCCTAACCGCCAAACATGTCTGACACAATCCCCGCCTCCACCAGGCCCCAAGACAAGTTCGCTTACCTATGCGAGAAGTACCCCAATTCCGCCGACCACCTAATATCCTTCGCGGGCTACCAAGAAGCCGTGGCCGAGATCATTCCACCCATTGAGTTGGAGAGGGCCCTACTAAGCCAGATAAAACATGAGTTGTGGACATTGATCTGCGAGGGAGCGGCGAGCGAAGAGCTAGAGGACTTTCTCGGTGAACTGCTGGAGCTGGTATCCTGTATGCTGGAGAGTAAACAGCGGGTTGAACTTCATACGAAGGCTCTGGCGGAGTCTATGCGGAGGGACGTTAGGTAGTGGGTTTTTGATGGAAAGGATGCGCCGGGGCCGGTGGACGAGATCGAGAGTTGGAATATGGTTGGAGTCTTCCTCGCGGTGCGGTATTTATTTATTTTAGCTCTGTCTGCTTTGTAGGCTGTATTCTATGTTCTTTAAGTCTCATCAGCAGAGTAAAGATTCAATTGAAAATCAAAACCATGTTTCAAAATTAGAGTTACAGTTTGGGTAATAACGAGCTATGACACAAGTGCCTGGAACACAACGGGGATAGATATTACCGGTGCATGGAGAGAGAGAGAGAGAGATAAAACAGCCGGGAGAGCCTTGCTCTTCTCTCCTATCACAAATAATATTATCCCTTCGTATAGGAAAATGGTGCCCACCTAGTGCCCACCTAGTGCCCACGCACCCCCGAAAAAAGCAAATTTTTGTATGGCTTTGCTAACTGATCCCGTTACCTCTGTTATCCAGTGTTGGCAATAATGGACCCACGGCCCGTGATTATCGGTCAGTGTTAGAACCTGAGCGGCGACCCATGGGTCTTGGGTAGCGATCTAGATCGCATCCTCTTCCGGGATCGTATCATCAGGTTATAGGAAAGCTGAGTCGAAACCTATGTAATATGTATCTTTCTCTAGAGCTTATACGAGCTACGCTATGATTAGTCAAAGTCCTCGTTCCCTACCACAATTAATATCAATGTCATAATGACCTCGACACCAAGGTAAACCCTTAGACCCCCGGTCGTCACAAAACTCTGAATCTTATCAGATAATAGGGTAGTACTACCAGACGATGATATCAGTAACGAATCACATGAATTACTCAGATCTCAACTTGCCGTCCAGACCACGCGAAGACCCCCAACAAGTTGGTTTGGGCTGAACAAACCCCGCCTATCCGAATGGATGAACTAAGGAGCTTAGCTAGGCGTCAATATTAGTGTGATAATAATCAGGACCCTTCTCACGCTTGTGACGCTGAACTTGATATATAAACCCCTAATCTCCCCCGCCAGCTATAGCTACCACAGCATCGCTCTCTCCCTTCCCATCATACCCTCACATAATATCATTACAAGTACACATCGAACAAATTAAATGTCTCCCTCTATCTCTAAGACGCGCCCTAAGAAATCCCTCCCCATCGAGGACTGGCCTGGTCTCCCTAAGTGCCATTTATCCAGCGAGGGCTTCCGCAGAGGCATGTACGATACTTTTGAAGTACTACTCGAGTACACGGAGTCACGGGACGTGAGCGATCTAATTTACCGGCGATCGAGCTTCGATCCAGACAGGGAGCCCGCGCCCGGGGAATTTCTCACTGACGAGGAGATGGGAGTCTATCTTTCCGGCTACAATGGCGCCCCAAACGTTCTTGTTGGGAGGGTGGCGGTGGAGACTGTGTGGAAGTCGAAGTAGTTTTACATGGAGAAGCGCAATGCATGCTCCGAGGAAGGAAGGAGGAGTTGGAATTGGTATATGCTAGTTAGTATTAAGTTTTGAAGAACGGGGGTTTCTTGCTGGTGTTTTGGTGCTCGTTGCACGTTGGTGGTGGTGGTGTCTTTATCTTTTTTCGGCGGTGTGTGGTACGTGGTATCTTTAAGTTTTGGGCTCTGTTTGTAGGCCTTATCCTCGGTACTCTCCAAGCTATGTAATCAGCTGAGAAAATACACAATATTTGATCTTTTTCAGTACTACGTACCTGTCGTTTAACGTTAGGTTATAGCACCCCATACCCACTGAGTTTTGGGCGCTCTTACAACTGTGAGGCTTATGTGTGGAAAGGACCGGTTTGCGCAAGGGCCCAAAGAAACTAATGGTGTGTCAAATACAACCTTAACTTTGGCTAAAGTCACGGAATAACGAAGCAAGCAAGGTACTTAAACTTCCCATAAATTACTTTTAAAGCAGCTTGGTTTCCTTTTTTAGCGTAGGCTGTTCCGCAATCCGGTGGCACAATCGCGGGTATCCTGGTACCGGTCCCTATTTGAACTGTCCTACATGTACTGTATACACATAGGCGGGTGATATGCATATTCAGAACTCAGTGATAAGCGAAGCTGCCCCCTACCGCCCAGGAAGGCGCTTGATTTGTCGCCAAAGTAAGGTACACGCGGGTAGTAGGCAATGCACCTCCCAGATAGGACGTATTCCAGCTAATCGGACTTAGTTGGTAATAGGGGGCCCCCGTTGCAATATATTTTTCTCCCTTGAGGTGTATGCCAAATCCCTGGAAGACATACCGAGTACAGCATCTCCTCCGGCAGACCTTCCTATCGGAGAATCTACAATGGTATCGTGGTAGGCCTGAATCTAAGGTATGTTCTGGCGTTTATTGAAAGTCAGTATTTAAAAAGGTTGCTGCCCCCTATCATCCTCCGTATCTGCGATCCATTCTTCACCTACTCCGAGTGCCATGCGGCTCCAACGCGGTCTCTCCTACAGACTTGTCCTGGTGCTTATTCTTCCCGCAGCCTATTGCCAGATTACACCATGGCCAGTATCCTTTATCACACCTAGAAGCGGAAGCGTCCTAACGAAAGGAGACTCTTTCAACGTAACATGGCTGATGAACGAAGAATACGGCTACGCCGTGTTGGATCTAAACATCTGCCGTACGGTCGACTCAGATGTAACTACCTGCGAATTTCCAAACCCCAACGGCATTAATTACACCACAGATAGATATTTTTCATCACAAACTTGGACCCCTAGCCTCTCACTAGCATCCGGCGACGGCTATTTTCTTATGTTAACGGATATCGATATGCCAGCAGTTTATATCACATCAGATAGATTCACATTGAGAGACCCGAGTTTCTCATCGCTAGAAACAACAACTGTTACAATATCTCCACCAACGAATTCTGTAGCTTTATCGACCTTCCCCACTTCATCCCCGACCATGACAGCCCCCACATTACCCGAATCCTCCAGTACACAAAGTAGCTCAGACAGCTCACCAGCGGCAGCGATCGGTGGCTCAGTCGGTGGTGTTTTTGCAGCGATTGTTATCGCCTTCATACTTATATCACGACGAAAAGGATGGTTTTTCGGAAAGGCCCAAGTTCCAGAACTGGGGGAGAGGGACGGGGGAGAAGAGATGAGAGTGAGACATTTATCGGAATTAGAAGGGAATGTCGGAAAATACCTAGGCTCAGTGGACGCTGAGCTACAGGGAAGTGTACCAGTTTTTGAGTTGCCGGAGGGGGGTCATGATGAGGGTGCTGAGCTACCGGGAAGTGTACCAGCTCTTGAGTTGCCGGAGGGGGGTCATGATGAAAGTGCTGAAGGCATGGGGACAGTGAAGCATAGATAGGGATCTTTTGTGAATTCAAGTGCCTTCTTATTCACTATTATACTTGTGAATAAAAAGGGTGTCTTAATGCGGTAACAACAAAATCGAACGTCATAGTAGTAATAATAGATATAATAGCAAAAAGTTCCTTCTAAATTCCGGCGAACTATCCACTGAAGTAGTCTCCAGTTCCGAAATTTTTTCTACTATTTTATGAGGTAAAACTAGGGAGGGTGGTTGTGTTATGAGACTCGGTTGTTCCTTTGGGGCCAAGCAAGTATGTTGCTACGAACCCTGACCCTGGATTATGTCGCGATGTGGGATTTTCTTTTTTGTTTTGTTTAATTCATTAATTGCATGCAACCTTACAGTTATGGCAATAACCCCTGAACTGCCCGCTCTCTTCCACCTCCTCTCACGTATATCTGACATAGGAAATATAAAACACTAGAAATCATCTTTTTTGTCCTATTCCTCGTCTCCAGCGCTTTTCAGCGTTCCCCATCCGTACCCTAGTTGCGATGTGGGATACCCACCGGCTTTTTTTTTTTTTTTTGTTTAATTCATTAATTGCATGGATACCCACCAGCAGGGACTCAATTAGAACTCATAAGCTGCTCTACAGGGCTTCTAAATAAGCCCCCCAGCTTTTACGCATTAATACTATCCATGGTTGTATCAACAACACGATAGTACTGTCTAACATAAATGGCAGGCCAAGAATACCTTATTATGACCTGTGCTATATTGAAGATGACAGTTCCTTACGCAAGCCTTCCACTAGTACTGAACTTATGCTATCTATACCAGCAAATGATCCCTGGTTTAGACTTTTTGCAACGGCGGGAGGCGCACGCAGTTGCATGGTAAGATTCCCCCGGAAGAGCCCTTAATGAGGTTCTGGAATTTTATTAAATATTAGAAAACAAGAATAGTATCTTTTAAATACTCTATACAGATCTTGTGTCTACATGATGGCGAGATGCGGATTTATAGACTTTAAGAAAGATGCACATATTAGGTGTGCGGTATCTTTAGGTTTTCGAGCTCTGTTTGGAGGCCTTATCCTCGGTACTCTCCGAGCCAGTCAGCTGAGCAAATACACCGTATTTTGGTCTCTTTAAGTACTACAGTAGTACTTAAAGAATTATATGAACTCGATTGGACAGCTGAGCAGTATAACCCCTATAATGATGGTGGTAGTACTCTACCACCGGAGAGAAATGAATCCATAGATTGTGTTAGCAAAATGCATCGGTAATGTGCAGCTAATGAATTGTGTAGGGTAATGTATTTGAATTGTGTTTCCTTATATTTTGTATCTGGTAATGATGCATCAGCAATGATAATGCATCTGGTAATGCATCGGTACCTTAACGTCGAAACGCATACAATTTTGAGCCTTATTATGTACAGAGAGACTTAATTAAGCATTAGGTATGCCTTATTTACCAAAAGATGTCAAAATAAGCGTTAATTTGAATTAGTAAGATTAGCTGCTATTGCTTTTCACTAAGTAGGGTTAATTTGACGCTTTTTTAATTCGGTAATGCTGTGCTTTGGTTTAGGGTTACCAAAAATACTAACCCTAATCCGTCAATAAGGTTTAATGTCTTAATTACGCCTCATTCTCGATGCATCTTATTTACGAATAAGTAATATATATAGATTGATGGATATTTGATTCTGATATCGTCGATTAGATTTAGATACCGATACACCTGAGCATCAAATAAGCAATATCAGGCACAAATCATGATGCTCAAATACCGATACGCTTGAGCACTATATACGCCATACTGACGGTATAATCGACATTTGATGCTGATACTAGTACTGACGATTAGGCTTATATAGAGCTCAATAAGCAACTCTGGCTTGCTTGGCACAGGCCAAATTACACTTCCAGCGACACCCCACCTTCGACCTCCACCTTCCGCCTTCGACCTCCACCTCCACCTCCACCTCCACCTCTACCTCCACCCCTACCTCCACCTCCATCTCTACCTCCACCTCCATCTCTAGTATCTCTATCTCTATCTCGATACACCTCCAGATCATTACCGGCTAATCAATCGTCAAAACTGCCAGTGGCATGCTGCTCAAAAGCCTCCTGCTAGTACGTAATTTGGTGTCCTCCGTCTAGCACGTAATTCTGCTGCACCTTTGCTTACTTTGCTCAGGGCGAGATTTAGGCACGGAATCGAGCAGGGAATCGAGCACGGAATAGAGCACGGAATAGAGCACTGGCACGGAATAGAGAACGGAATCTACCCTTTGATGCCCACTGGCAATTGATGCAGCAGATGACGACATACCCTCTACTCCTACTAGAAAGGTTGACGCTTTGACTGATGTACTAGTAGTAGCACTAGATACCGCCTCCTCCGAGCCTAGTAGCACGCCACCGTGACCACTAGCAATATACCGTCGACACCGTACTCAAGGCTACAGGAAGTGTGTAATCTACGGACGGCACAGAAGAGGATGTGGAGGTGGAGGACACGGACACAGAGGAGCTAGAAGCAAGAAAACCGTAGCTAAACAGGGTATTATACATGTATATATACTAGTATATATATATAGATTAATGAGATATAATATACCAAATCAAGAGTAAACAGTGCTATTGCTTATTCGTACTAGATAAAGCTCAAAAAAGTAATAATCATATTTAGGCCCTTAGTCTTATCCAAAAATCAAGATTAAATACTTTAACGTCAGAACGGGTATTTCTATAAACCTATAAACAGGCTAAGGTAAGCCTATAAAAAGCATTATGTCTCAAATAAGACTTAGTCGTCCGTTCAGGCTCTTACAAGCCTATCATTTTTTAAGCTTTATTAATACAAAGGCTTATGATACCTTATAAGACTTAATTTGACATTATATACATCGATGGCCGCCCGCCTTCCCCGCCCCCTTCCCCCCCCTCCGCGCCTACCTACCTACCTACCTACCTACCTGCCTGCCTGCCTGCCTGCCTATGCCTGCCTATGCCTGCCTATGCCTACCTGCCTGCCTGCCTGCCTATGCCTGCCTATGCCTCCCTACGCCTACCTACACCTACCTGCATATCTCCACGCCTACCCGCCTACCCGCCTACCTGCCTGCCCATTAACTTCAATTGGTTGAATTTGATGCTCGATTTGGTGCTGTATTTGGTGCTGTATTTGGCGCTGGATTCGCTGCTGCTGCTGGATTCGCTGCTGCTGGATTAATCGCTGTTCGATTCGTTGATTAGCGCCCACTTTGATGATAACGGTGATGGTGATTGTGGGGGAAAAAAAGGGGGGGGGGGGGAGGGGTAGATGGTACAGAGGTAGTAGAAGTGATGGAGATGAGTAGGCGTAGACGGCTTGATCTTTGCTAAGTGCCTACCCGTAACCCTAACCCACGAAATCTTACGAATTTGCATAATTCTTAGTGAATCGGTAATATTAATTCTACAAACGGTTTTAAATAAGCCTTATTCGTAGCTAGTCCTGGCCGACGGTCACACTTATGCCCAAAACAGCCCAAATTTAGGCTTATTTGAGACATATGGTCTTAATAAGACTTTCCGTCTGCCTCTCAGCCTTATAGAAATAACCGTTCTGACCTTAATGTAATAATCAATATCTAGCGCTATGGACTTTCCAAAACGTAGTCTTACAATACAATTAAACGAGAATAAGACCAAAACATGGGAAAACGCTCAAATCTTGCTTATATAAGCATCAAATAAGCAATATAAAAGGCTCAAAATTGTATGCGTTTCGGCGCTAAGGTAATGGGAGGGTAATGCATTGGCAATGGGAGGGCAATGCATCTGGTAATGCACCTGGTAATGCACAGCCAATGCATCTGGTAATGAATCGGCAATGCTTCTGGCAATGAATCGGCAATGCATCAGGAATACTCCGAGAATGCTTCGGAAATGTGTCAAATAAATCGAATTTCTCAAAAAAAGAAGATTTGACTTGAAAAGGATCTGAACCTGTGAACTCCTGATTCTTAGCTGATACTTCGGCATATCAGCCATATACCATTTGTTATATATTTGACCTTACTAAAGAGTGCTATATATCCAGCAAATATGGATAGAAATGCATCATGAAATGCATCATGAAATGCATCGTGAAATTCATCATGGAAATGCATCATAAAAGGTATCATAAAAGGCGTCACAAAAGGCATCACAAAAGCGTCTGGAAATTAATCCAAAAACTGAACAGGAAAGGCATCAGGAATGGTGTCCGGAAAATCATCCAAAAACCACCAAACAGGAAATGCATCCGCTGATTCATTTACTAAAAGGCTCGAGAGTAAATGCATCCATGGATCGATTTCCTCCACTCACGCTGTAGGATTTCAGAAATGCATCATTTGATGCATTACCCCCCGTCACGGTAGTAGACTCGGAGGTAGTAATATGAAAGAGGCAAAAATAAACGGAACATGTAGACTAAGGCTACATACTCTGGATTACTATTCCTTTTGCGGTGCTGTGGGCCGTAACATATACCCTTAGTTGTATCGCAGAACAACCCAAAGCCCATAAATTCATGTCTAGCAAAAGAAAAGAGAACAACAAAAGAGTTCGGTATCCAGGATTCCCGTATGGTCACCCACTACAGTACTAACTAGACGATACGTTGTTTGTGTATGGCAGAGCGGACGGGATGCCCAATTTTCAACGTTCTATGACCGAACACGTGATACCTACATATTAATTATTTCAAAAACGGGTGATCGGTCATGACCGGATTCTGGCCGAGTGATTTTACATGATGCAACTACACAATTACCGATTGATGCTGTTAATTCGTTTGCAAGTACTCAAAGAGTCAATGTCTTATACCCTTTCGTTCTTAATCCTATTTGGCTCTGGTTAGGTAGTCGTAATCGTGCTTCCCCAGTTTGTGTTAGCAGCCTTTGGGGAAGGATCGAATGATGTGTCGCCACTCCCTGGCGGAGCCGGACATTCAAAATCAGTGATGTCAGATTGGTTTATGATCGTATTTGGAATAGGAAAGCCTACCGGAGGCTCTAGATTACTACATAGCAGCCTGCCCGTTTATCGATCTGTTACGCCGTAGGCCACACCAAGAATCATTGAGGCCGGTCGGCCAAAGTGGCAAATACTTTGAAAATTTGAACGTCGATCGAGAGCGTTTTAGGGAGCGGTTAAAGCAGAGACCGATAAGCTGGGCGAATCTCGGTTAGAATTTGGAATTTTATTTGGAGAAACTGATGCGTTTCGCATGTCTAAGTAGTATAGCCTTATCATTTCAACGCGCATTTGGAGTCTTAGTGCCAGCGACACTTGGCTCAAATTGTCTCAAGCTCTCTGATTGAGCTCTTGGAGCTCCGTTATGTCACACAACGATTTGGCTCGAGTGTTGTCCAGTGCTCGAGTTGTGTGGGCTCGTCGATCACCTTAACACGTTCCAATGTTCAAAGCTCATTTGTCTCAGTTTTCTAACGGGACTTGTGCTTAACACCGTTTCTGTCTAAACTCTTTCCACCCAAACCGTCCCTCTGCGCTCCAAAACCAACCCTACCCAAACCGAGCACAGAAAGAAAAACAAAAGAGTTCGGTATCCAGGATTCCCACATGGTCACCCACTGCAGTACTAACTAGACGATACGATGTTTGTGTATGGCAGAGCGGACGGGATGCCCAATTTTCATCGTTCTATGACCGAACACGTGAGGTTTGTGCGTTTCTGCATTTTCAAACGGGTGAGATCTCATGACGCTGGACCGAGTGATCTTACGTGATTCCACCCGTTGCTTGTTGTCGTACAATGCGGTTGCGCTTACTGCCGCCTACTAGTCGCATGATGGTTTGAACGCGAATAGGGCACAGATTATCACGCTGGGGCGCTTAGCGTATTGGAGGGGCAGTATTGAGGTCTTTCGTCGGCGGAGTTCACTCTACCGCACAGGCCTGTATGCGCCTTGAAGTCGGCGACTTCGTCTGGCCTAATTGCGCAAAAGCTAAATCTTACCCGTACCTGATTTAGGCCTGGGTGGGCTGCATGGCCACATCTCCTGTCTGCACAGAAGATTTTCGGGGTCGGGCTTTTCCGGGTGTTAACCCTCTCATAACGCTTTTTGAACCCTTATAAGTGTTTCACCCTTAACAGTGCTTATACTACACTACCGGGGGGTTCATAAAGCAGATCCCAACATCATCCAACAAGCCACTATGGCCGAGTGGTCTAAGGCGGCGCACTTAAGTTCCTCGGGACTGATCTGCGTTATCGAAAGATGCGTGCGTTCGAACCGCACTGGTGGCATTCCTTTTTTTTTTTTGTCCCTGTGGCTTACGCGTACACGCAAGGGAACGTTCTAGTTGCAGCTGGGGCTCTGCAGGGTGGCGCTGGTTCGGTTTCTGTAGGTCAGATCTGGTTATGCGGGGTGGACGGGATGGGATCTTGTGATGTCACTCGTCTGACGATTGGTTCCCGGTGACGCGGCGCATGCTGCTGCTTGCAGTACTGGCAACCACGATATGATAACGGGTGCTTTGTCACCGCATTGCGCTCTACTTTAGTACCTATCCGATTCAAGCCACTAAGCAGGAAAAAGAAACTAGTATACAACGAGTGACACTCCATGACACAAACAAATCGTACATGGAGGTCGGAGTTTTTTTTTTTTTTTTTTTTGTTGTTTAATTTGCATGCAGAAGGCCGGAGTTACTAATGGAATGTTTATTGCATATCCCGTATGGTACTGATATGTACATGTAGTCACTAACGAGGTCTTCTGTGATGGACATTTACCCACTGGCGATAACGCATAGCGGCGTGATGATGCCCGTTTCCGTCGCAGTATGGCTGGTTTCGGGAATGAAGTTGTCCGTTCTCACTTTAATTACTTGTAGATATGTACATCTCCGCCCAGCGGGCTTATTAGGTCATCCTATTGACGGCGGTGTTCATAGTCTAGCTTAACAAGTCGTGTCACCATCATATGTGTCTACAAGTAGAGATGGAACGTAGAAGACAAGTGGCTCCAGGGGCCAAGTATATTTAACCGGTCACCCCTTGAAGAAAAATCCATCATCTCGCACCTCTTCTATCCTGCAACCTTTTTCATCCTTCCTCCCTACTAACAAATTTGATAATTCATCGGGTTACCGTGTGCCCGCTTACGCTTGATTGGTCGAACGAACCTTGCTTACTAAGCGCGACTTTTTTTTTGTCAGGGCAAGTTACAAGGGTGCACTCATACTAGCGATGTTTGGGGATTTCCCCTGGGGCCAAAGCGATCCATTGGTGTTTGTTCTTAAGCTTATTTTTGTGCAGGGGAAACCGGGGGGGTGTGGTAAGCTAAGCTGTATTTGTGGTGTGGGGGGGGGGGGGGGCGAAAAGGAAACCGCCTTTTCTGGAGCCATCTGTTGACGTCGCGTTTGGAGGACTGATTGGTGGGCGGGGATTTCATTGAGCTCCTCCATTTGTCACGCTTAACTGGCGAACGACGCAGCTTCATACATGCTACCGGGCCTTTGGGTTTGTGGAAAAAACGAAACAAACAAATTCAGGCTGAAGTTGGACCGGGCGCGCCCAAGATGGTAATGGCCTAGAAGACTGGTTAGATCGGGATCGTTTATTCTGATCGCAGATGTTTACGCAGCGAGTGATAAAAACAATCACTCCGGTTTGTGACACTCCGGGGGGCGGATGCAGAAGAACCGTTGTGTCCGCCCTTCCTCTTCCCCCCCCCAATTAATTAATCCCTACACACATACCCGTGATGTCGGTACTTGAAGGAGTGAAGGAGTGAATGATAGGTTGTGTGCCTGTTACTCCGTACTCCACATACCGGCTGACTCACTCGCGCCCTCCTCGACTTCCCCCACCGAGAGAGAGCAGACAGAGTTCGTTCACACACACTCGCTCGCTCACATTCTCACGGGGTGTCTGGCTATTGTTATTCTTGTTGTCTGTCCTGCTGTCACTTATTCCCTCCTTTCCCTCATCATCGTCATCACATCCATCCACACATCCATCCATCCATCCATCGGTCGCATCCCAACGCAACAAGCGAGAGCAACCCCCCCCAGAAATAAAAGAAACCAAACAACCACAACCAACGCCACACGCACCTCCCCGTCGACAGGGTTCACAACCAACCCCCCAACCCCAAAACCCCCAAAACCCCCCAATCTCCAACAAACCCCCCCCACCAAGACCCCACAATGACACCATCAAGTACAGCAAGCGAGGACCGTATCGTGCGAGTCCGCGCAATCCGGGCCTGCATCTCGTGCCGTAGCCGAAAGATCCGTTGCGACCAGGTCCGTCCGTCGTGCGGCTCTTGCACGCGCGGCAACATTCACTGCGAGTTCCCCAGCCAGGCACGACGGCCACCTCGCCCACGCCAGCCAGATGCGGTGCTGGTGCAACGCCTGGCAAGGCTCGAGAGCGTGATTGAGCAGTTGAGCTCAGGCAGGGGACAGTCGGAGGAGACGGAAGACACGTTGTCGCCGGGGAGAAAGTCGAGTGGGAGTGGCACGGAGAGTGTGGTTGGAAATGGAGATGTGAGGAGTCCGAGTGCGTTGGATGATCTGGAGGCGGGCGTGGGGAGGTTGCTGGTTAGTGATGGGAAGAGTCGTTATATTGGGCCGAACTTTTGGGCGTCGCTTTCGGAGGAGGTGGGTTATCCCTAGTCTGACTACTTGACTTGTTGCTTCTTGGTTGGTCCAGTGTGCTGTTGCTGTTGCTGTGTCTGTCTATGGGATGGATAGGGATAGGGATATGGATATGAAAGGAGAAATGCGTGACAGCACTGATGTTGTTGTGAAAAACTCCCCAGGCTGCAGACCTCAATTCGCTCCTCCACGAGACGCAGGAAGACGAGCCCGAACCGCCCTCCCCCAGCTTCGGTGGCCCCCCATCCTTCTTCGCCCGCACCTACGCCACCGACCTCTCCATCTTCCACCTGCCCGTTGCGCTCTCCCAGCACCTCTACGACACGTACGTGCAGGCCGTGGACCCGCTCGTGCGGGTGATCCACAAGCCGACGTGCGCGCGCCAGCTCGCCGCCTTCCATGCGCTCGGGTGCCAGTCGGCGAGCAAGGACTTTGAGGCGCTGCTGTTTGCAATCTACTTTGCGGCCATCACGTCGATGTTGCCGGCGCGGGTCGTGGAGCTGTTTGGCTGCGATAAGAAGGCGATGCTGGCGAGGTACCATGTGGCGGTGGAGCAGGCGCTGTCGAACGCGAGGTTCTTGCAGAGTGAGGAGTTGATGCCGTTGCAGGCGCTTGTGCTGTTTAACGTATGTTCAATTTCCGTTTATGGATTGTTATCCCCCCTCTTTCCCCTTTCAACCTCTGATTGGAGTTATTTTTTAGGCGTGTCTGCGTGGAGGGGAAGATACTCGGACGGCGTGGACACTCGTTGGCCTGGCGGTCCGAATAGCGCAGTCGCTCGGCCTCCACCGCGACGGCTCCCACTTCCCCATCACGGCGTTCGAGACCGAGATCCGTCGGCGGCTGTGGTACGAGATCTGCATTCTCGATTTCCGGACGGCCGAGGACCACGGGTGCAACCCGAGCATTCCCTCCATCTCGTACGACACCAAGCTGCCGCTCAACATCAACGACGACGACCTCACGGAGACGGGCGTGCCCGTGTCGCGCAAGGGGCACACGGAGATGACGTTCTGCCTGCTGCGCTTCGAGGTGCTGGGGTGCTATGGCTTCCTGTTCCGCGGCGATGGCGGTGTCAGTCTGGCGGAGCGGGAGAAGAGGATCGAGGAGACGAGGCTGATGATGTTTGAGAAGTACCTGAGGGAGGTGGACCACACGGATCCGCTGCAGAAGGTCACGTATACGGTGTGGAAGCTGATGATGGGAAAGGCATTGCTGAGCCTGTATCACCCGCTGCGGCACTTTAAGGACGGCGAGTTCCTATCCAAGGATCTGAAAGAGAGGTAACTACGCTGTCCCCCCCCCCCCCTGCCCTGAATGAAACGGAGTAGTAGAGTAGGCAATTGACAGACAGCAACCTCCGCCCTCCAGACTCTTCATCGCCGCGCTAGAAACACTCGAATACGGCGCAGCCTTCGCCGTCAACTCGCGCTCGCACGGCTACGCGCAGTGGAACTGGTTCTTCCAGAAGCACGGGCACCCGCACTCGCTCGCGCTGGTGCTGCTGGAGCTCAACGAGCGCCCCATCCACGACTCCAACGGGCTGTACGAGCGCGCGTGGCGCGCCGTCGATGGCTACTTTAATCGCGACCTGTGGAGCATGGGCAAGCCCGTGCTGTCGGAGAAGATTTGTCTGTGGAAGCCGCTCGGGCGACTGCGGGATAAGGCGCTGAAGCGGCGGGCGAGGATCATGGCGGAGGAGGCAGGGGGGGCGCTGGGGCCCGATGGGGATGGGGATGGGGAGGCGGCGAAGGGGAAGGTGCAGGTGGGGGGTGGGAGCGGGTTGTTGGAGGAGCTGGTGGGGACGGAGGGGTGGGCGGCGATGGAGGATTCGCCGCCGATTGATTGGGTAGGTGGTTTTGGCTGTGGTGGTGCTGGTGCTAGTGGTGGTGGTGGGGGTGGGGGTTATGGTTATGGGGCTGGGGGTGGTGGTTTGGAGTTGTGGTGGTGAGAGAGAGAGAGAGATGAGGATGATTGCTAACTGGTGGGTGGTGTAGAATGCGTGGGATGATATGTTTACGACTACAACGATGGAGTTCGAGTAAGGACAAGGATTGAACAGGACGGCGGAAGGGACGGGACGGGACAGGGAAGGGGGTTGGTTAGGTTATGGGGTGCCGGGGGGGGAGTTGCTGTTTGACTATATCTATGTGTGGTGTTTTGTGCAATTGGTTGAAACATAACGGTACGGTGTTTTCGGTGCAATGCTTCACATTTGACTTTTTTTTCCTCTCTTTTTTTTCCTTATCGCTTTTTTTCTCTCTATACTTTTTCTTTTTTTTCTTTCCTTTCTTTTTATTATTACCCTTTCTCTTGAAATGTTTTGGGAGGCCAACCAACTACCGGCTACCTATGTATGTGTATGTGTATCTACTCTACTCTACAATCGAGTCGAATCTACAATGAAGAAATAAATAAATAACAATTGAACCCTCCCTGATTTTTTCTTTCTTTCTCTCCCTCTCTGCCCAGTCCAGTCAGTACATACGGCCGGCCCCCCCGGAACAACACAACAATACGTACGGGCCCACTGGCTAAGCGGATGAATGGCCAACCACTCACGGGGCATTCGGGCAAGGGCACATTTCGGCTCCATACTTATCCATCTTGCTGTATTTATTGATTACCGTACATACATACACCCCCCCTTTTCCCTAGCTAGCTAGCTAGCAACCCACCCACCCACCCACGGCCCTCGCAACACCCACCTCGGCGACGTCGACGCTACAACATGATGCACACACTTCTTGATCCCCGAGCCCCTGGTCCCCGGGTCTCCCTCCTACTCTATGTAACATGCAGCCCCCCCCCCCAGCTAGCCAACCTGTCAACCCGCGGCCGTTTCCCCACACGAGGCCAGTGCCAAGACGGCCGCGGAAAATATACGCTAGTAGTTCATGCGTCGGCGATGGGGATGGATGACTAAGACATCCTTCGGGACCTGGGGGGGGAGCCAATCATTGGGGTGACTAGTTTTTTTTTTTGGGGGGGGGTGGTTGGGGCATTTTTTTTTTTAGTGTTAGTGGTGGTGTGTTGCGGGATTGACGACCTCGCCGACGACATCGAAGGGGGGGGGAGCCGAGAGGGTCGGGGAATGTGGAGGGAGGATCTAGGGAGGAAGGGGAAGGGGAGGGGGAGGGGAGGGGAGGGGAGGGAAGAAGGTGTGCACTGGCCTGAGGGGGGAATTGAGGATCCCGATGCGTTGGATGAATTCAATGGAGGGAGGGCCGTGGCATTCTACTCTACTGTGCGTAGGTGGGTGCGGGTAGATGGAATTCTACATGGCTGTCGGGGATGGATATGAGATACATATAAAGGGTAGTGTAGTAGAACCCTCTGTTTCACTCTGATGTCAATCACTCACTTGTCCCCGCCCCAAAAATTAAAACCGTCTCTATAATATCAAATAAATAACTACAATCCCACCCCCCCCCCCCCCCCCAACCCCCAGCAGGCAACAATGTTCACCCCCGTCGAAACCACCATCGGTGCCCTCCTCCTCCTCCAATCCACCACAACCCTCCTCCTCACCACCGGCCAGCCGCTCGGCGCCTCCTCCACCCTCGGCAGCAGCCTCACCTCCCCCAATCTCCACAACCTCCCGCTGCTAACGGGCATGCTCCTCGCCACCACGCTCACCTCCCACACACTCCCAACGCTCCTCCCACCGCCCTCCCCCGCGGTCCCTAACCAGCGCTACATACTAGCAGCCCTCCTCGTCGGCGCCGGAACACGCCTCGCAAACGGCTGCACGTCCGGCCACCTCCTCTGCGGCGTCCCGCACCTCTCTATCCGCTCCATTGTCGCCTCGGCCGTCTTCTTCACCACCGCCGCCGTCACGGCGACGCTCTCGTCGGTGTGGTATGGCACCACCCCCGCCTGTGCTGGCGGGATGGCATGTTCCACGCCCTCCTATCCCAGCGCCTCCGAGACAACCACCCTGCTCGGGCTCCTCGCAGCAACGACGCTCGTCTCAGCGGGTACCTTCCTCCTCCCGCGCCGCCCGCTCTCGACCGCTCTCGTGCGCGGCTGGGTCGGCGTGACCTTCGCACTAGGGCTGCTAGTCTCCGGGATGGCCGACGCGCGCAAGCCACTGCGGTTCTTGACGTTCCGCGCGGGGCTGTGGGATCCGAGTCTTGCCATGGTGGTTGTTGGCGCTGTGTTGCCGTCGCTGGTGGGGTGGGGGTGGGGTGTGCGGCGGGTCGGGATGCCGGTGGTGGGCGGGGAGTGGATGGTGAGGGGGAAGGAGGTCGGGGCGAGGCTGGTGGGCGGGAGTGTGTTGTTTGGGCTGGGGTGGGGGATGGCGGGGGTGTGTCCGGGGCCCGGGGCGGTGGGGCTGGCGGTGGGGATTGGGGGCGTGGCGTGGGTGGGTGCGTTTTGGGTCGGGTGGGGGGTGGCGGGGTTGTTTTAGGGTGAGGGGAGAGGGGGTGGAGGTGGTTTATTTGTTCGTTCACTCCTTATCCTCTCCATAGATTACCTCCATAGATTACCTCCATAAACCTTACCATAGACCCTTCGTCATAGCTGAAACACTTCTTTAGCACGTTCCGTGGGATATTGTATGTCCTTAGTTAGGGTCGCCGTACAGTTCGCCGTAGAGCCCAGAGTTCAGTCAGTTCGCCTTGTGACAAGCCATGAGAAATCAAAACTCTCCAACACAAACACAAACACGGTGACAAATTAACCGAGACAAATACACAATCATGTCAACAGAAACCGAAACAGAAACAATGCGCACACGTACCGGGGCCGCCCAATTCCATCGGTTTCATCCCAAACCTCGATCCCAGATCGCAACTCTCCCAACAGACTACCCGTCTGCAATTGTGTCAGTCTCACAAAAAACACCCAACGAAAAAAGCGAACGAACCAACAACAAAAAAGGTAATGACAGAAGTGGGACTTGAACCCACGCTCGTTTCCGAACCAGGATATCGATGTTAAGACTCTCAAGACCTTAACCTGGCGCCATAACCAACTCGGCCATCCTGCCATGTCTGCTCCCTCCCTCCTAGCCCACCTTCAATTCTATTTATCCACCCTCCCACAATTTGTAACTCGCCAAGCCAGCAGCCAAGCGCCTTGGCGTCCACACTTCACCCGGGTTCCAGGGGCGGTGACGCAATCTGTGCCGCAGACGGCGTGCCTCATTTGTTGAAACCTTAATTTGACTTCATGGTTGCAACCCTGTGCGTGTGTTTGTGGCAGATGGGGCATCGGGCGGGGATTGGCAGGTGGTGGGTGGTGCATGGGGGCCGCGTTGGGAATGTGTGATTGCAGGAACGCATCTGGGAGGATAATTTGGCACGGATGCTGGGATATTCCTCTTTCCGCGGTTGTTGGTAGCACACGTACTGTACCTATTACTGTTGGGCGGAATGAATTGTCAATCAATCAACCAGGTTGGGCGGTGAGAGACACAACGGTGAGGTAAGAAATACGCCTGGAAAACCCACTCCCGCGCTTGGTAAAAAAAACACGAGGAGAGGCCTATCCAAAAAGACGGCAAAAGAGTTCGGTATCCAGGATTCCCGTATGGTCACCCACTACAGTACTAACTGGACGATATGATGGTTGTGTATGGCAGAGCGGACGGGATGCCCAATTTTCATCATTCTATGACCGAACACGTGAGGATTGCGCACTTTTGCATTTTTCAGGCGGGTGACGTCCCATGATGTGGTTGACCGAGTGATGCTTTGTGACCCCGCGCGCTTTTTTTTTTTTTTTTTGTTTAATTCATTAATTGCATTATGACCCCACTCGCTGTACAATCGTTCGCGGGGACTCTTCTGTTCGCACTACATTAGTAGTTTAGCAGGGTTTTTTTTAGCCGCTCCCGGTGCCAGCTTTACGCCGTGAATAATTATGTCCTGTGTTGTTACTACATACAGCGCTTGCTATCTTTTAAATTGTTGATGGTGATACTGTTATAGTGATGTTTATTAGATAAGATGGGACTAGATTGATAGTTGTTTCGTCCCGTATCCTGTTGGTGAGGGGTAGGTCTCGGGAGTCTCGAGACGTCTCGAGAGTATCCGAGATACTTTTGGTCTCGTATTTAATAGTACTAAACCGCTCCAATTGAGAGAATATTTGAATTTAGACAAATGTATAATCACCTGATCGATAAAGTGCAAGTTTTTGGACCATGGATCAACCGATATTGGATCTGTAGGGACTAAATAAGTAGCGGCAAAGTCTTGTATTATATCTCGAGACCTGCCTCAATCTCATCTCGAGATATTCGTCCTTCCAAAATCGCTGTATTGCCAGGTCTTGTAGACATGTCCCGAGACAAGAGCTCGAGACGTCTTGTCTCGTGGCCAACACTACACCGTCACCTCCTGTGAGACAAAAAGTCACGGTAGGATTGAGTAAGAGATCAACAGAACTACTGGAAATTATTAGCCCAACCGCGTCGTAGTTTTGACGTCTGTCGAAAAATGTTGTCCGGTAACTCTAAGGTTGGTGGTAGGTGTGCCTTTGCTCACGGATTTTCTTACTTTGGTTACATTCAATTGCTTGATATCTCACCACAATTGCGACTTCTATATAGGCTGGGCAGCATCGACGGATGGAGAGATAGCGGGACACTGCGTTTATATCTTTTTAGACGATTACTCTCGCGCGATAAAACACTTACTACATATGTACGGAACCGATTGTCCGGCCCAAAAGTCTTACCAGATCGTTACATACATATTCGCCTTAAAAGGCCGCCGAAATGATTATTTAAGCACGAAATAAGGATGAAATACTAGGCGCTCAAAAAGGATTTGTGCGCTGACGGGGCTGTGCTAAGCCTATGTTTAGCTCGGGGTTTAGGCAAACCTTGTTTTCCATAACGTTCTCTGCTGCACTCAGGTGTTCGCGGGGACCAAAAGCTACAGCAATTCGGACGAGAGATTGGCCAGAGTTTGATTCGGATCGAATGATTGACAATATTTTTTTTAACACCAGCCACCATTTAGTCACCAGGAAGAACGGTCAACCTGTCTTGATGAGTTATGAAACACTCGTGATGTAGCAGCATGGCGGGCCACGCGGAAGCACTTCCTCTCACGCGTACGTCTGAGATACTGAGCACTATCGCTTCTCCTCCGGGCCCTCACACGCCGCAAAACGAATCTGCCAAATTCTCCCATCGTTTCAGCCCAGGGATATCACAACTTTCACCTCTTCCGGAGTACTCTTGGCCCTTGCTGGCTGAGGAGGCGAGGGCGAGCTAAAAGGGACGCCAAAAAGAGTTCGGTATCCAGGATTCCCGCATGGTCACCCACTGCAGTACTAACTGGACGATACGTTGTTTGTGTATGGCAGAGCGGACGGGATGCCCAATTTTCAACGTTCTATGACCGAACACGTCAGATCTGCGCACTTTTCCAATTTCGAACGGGTGAGATTTCATGTACTAAGCATCTCATACTTCCATCCACTATACTGTCAGAACGGGGAAAAAATAAGCGCCTAGTAAGTACATAACGATTTACTCCAAATAAGCTCTTAAATAAGCGTTTTTTCGTGATTTAATGGTTATTTTGATATAAACCTCTACTTTTTGTAATGGTTTGTCGAAAGGAGGCTTATATATGCCTTATTTTATATATATACATTAAATATAAATAATTGTTATCAAATAGCTTAAGACTTTATAATAGATCTGTCTTATTTATCAATCAAGGTTTCCAAATAATTATTCATTCCAAGAGCTTATTAAGCAATTAAACAGAAAAAAAGTCTTACATATCCATCAATAATAATTAAATAAAGATTATATAACGATTATATGACGATTATTTTTTTACCCGTCCTGGCTGTAAGACCGAGTGATCGTTTGTGATTTCAATGGTCTCTCTTCTCCCCTCCCCTCCGCTTTGTTTAATTCATTAAATGCATGCAGCCTTAAAGCTATAATAATGTGATTTCAATGGTCCACAAAATATGTGCAAGAGTACAGTGCTCTCTACTTGTAGGACGCTGGCTCACATTACAATCCCTTAAACCGTCAGGCCGGGTCGCAACGGGCCACTCGAACCCTTTATGGTAATCGTGATATAAGTAGCGCTTGGTTTTCAAATCCTGTTGCAACCTATCACACATCTTAAGTCTCTAGGCGTTGATCTTATCACGATTACCATAAAGGGTTTGAGTAACTCGTTGCAATTTGGCCTGGCGGTTTAAATTTCCTCAATTAGGGGTGGCGAGATGCGTATACTAAGATATAGTTACGTAGGACGAGTTCTACGCAAGTAATCCCAGTGGTGCCATTGTCCAAAGGATAATGATACCACACAGTAGTGTGGGCGCGATAACCATAGCGACGACGATAAGGGGTCAATTTAGTCCACGAAGCACTTTAAGGCTAGGAGAAGGAGTGGGGTACCAATCCCATACCTTCGCTTTCATTACTTTGAAATCATTAGCGACAAGTTGCCAAGTAGCTGGCAAGTACTGATAAGCCAGCCTTTTGATAGGACCAGCCTTTTGATAGACCAGCCTTTTGATAGGACCAGCCTTTTGATAGGACCAGCCTTTTGATAGGACCAGCCTTATGACGCAAGGAGTAACGAAGTAGCACTAACATTACGGCCGGAAGGGGATTTTTTATAAGTCTCAAATGTTACAAATCAACTCATTAGATTCTTTTTTATTGACAAAAGATTTGGCAAGATTTATTTGAGGCATGTAAAAACAGTACGCATTCCGGCATTAAAACACGCAGAGCACAGCACAATTACCCACAGGCAAAGAGAGACACCAGGTGTTGTCAGACAGGAACTCATTCGTACACCTCAAAATCACCTTCCATACGTCCCCATACTTTCCATCAGCACTCAGCTACTTTAAGCCATTATCTCCATCTTCACCCTTGAGCAACAGTTCACCAGATCACAAGAAATCACTCGGTCGAGCTTCAAGGAACTCCACCGATTGAAAATCGAAAAGAGCACAAAGCCCATGTGTTCGGTCATAGAACGTTGAAAATTGGGCATCCCGTCCGCTCTGCCATACACAAACAACGTATCGTCTAGTTAGTACTGTAGTGGGTGACCATACGGGAATCCTGGATACCGAACTCTTTTGTTTTGGTGGATGTCTTTTTTGACTGGTGGACAGATGGGTGCGGAGAACGGGAGCTAGGATGATATTATTAGTGTGGAGAGGTCTTCTTCCGACCGGCGCGTACTTTAGACTTCTCCACCATGGACTCCGGTGACAAAAGTTAAAAATTCTACATCGGAGTATAGGACATCATGGTATGTATGTACATACAGCGACTGTGACGGGGCCAGTGTAGTCCCCTGAGGACCACAAGGTGAGGAGGAGGGGCGACGATGTACATACTTCTTGGTATCGACTCGATACCTTGTGTTTGAATAAAAGGCTTGCCTGTATATCAGCGTATAGTATTTGAAAGCGACGAATTAACTCACATCCTATTGGACTACTTTTATCTTTGTTCTTGGCCAATGTATGCCTAGCATGAGAGGCCGGATGAACACGAATTACACCAAAAATCTGGCTGGCTACAGAACACGGGGCTATACCATCTACAAGTAGATGAGTCTAAGTACCTCGTGTAATCTGTACTATAGTCTCAATACAACGTACCTTAATTCCTGTTTAGTAGTAATAGGTACAAGTAATACTACAACCTCTGTTTGAACACCGAATCACAAACCATCACTCGTTCTCCGTAATCCGCATCATCACAAGCTCTCACCCGCTCGAAAGTGAAAAAGTGCGCAGTAATCCCGTGTTCGGTCATAGAATGATGAAAATTGGGCATCCCGTCCGCTCTGCCATACACAACCATCATATCGTTCAGTCAGTACTGCAGTGGGGTGACCATGCGGGAATCCTGGATACCGAACTCTTTTGTTTTTGTAAGTGGTGTCTTTTTGCTGGTGGATGAGGTGGTTGTAGTTGTTGTGTTGTAATGGTGGTTGCGGGTTGCAATGCAAAGTATGGTGGTTGCGAGTTGTGGTGGTTATGCGATGAGATGTGGTACTAGCAAGATGTAGCTGCAAAGTGGTAAAGAGATTGGGTGCAGTGATAGAACGTTGTAACACCATTCCTCTCGTGGTGATAGTGTGCGTACTATTGCATCATAGCCTGCTTGCCCACCTATCTACTTACCTGCCTACCTGATCGCCCACTTACCTGCTCTCACACCTACCTCCCAGTACCTATCTATCTACCTACCTACCTACCTAACTACCTACCTACCTACCTACCTACCTACCTACCTACCTACCTACCTACCTACCTACCTACCTACCTACCTACCTTCCTACCTTCCTACCTTCCTTTCCTACCTTCCTACCTTCCTACCTTCCTACCTTCCACCTTCCTACCTTCCACCTTCCTACCTTCCACCTTCCTACCTTCCTACCTACCTACCTACCTACCTGTCTGTCTGTCTTTCTGTCTGTCTGTCTGTCTGGCTGTCTGTCTGTCTGTGTCGACCGAATTCGCTGAATTGACTGATTTTTGGATTAGATTCGCTACTGCTAGATTCGCTGCCGCTAGATTCGCTGATTAGCCCATATTTAATGACGATTGTGATAATTGGGGGGAGGGGTAGTAGGTGGTACTGAGGTGGTAGAGATGATGGAGATGCGAAGATGCAGAAGTCATAGACGGCTTGATATTTCTAAGCACCTAACCTAACCCACGAAACCTTAATTTTGCGCCCCCAGGTCCCACTACTATGTACTTGTACAAAGTAAGACCTTATGAATTTCCTTAATTCGTATCTTTTTGTGAGCCTTACTACCAGGAAAAGCCTTAAGAAAGCGTGATATACGCGGAATCCTGAGCAACAGTCACGATACCGCCCAAAACAGGGCCAAATTTGAGTTTATTAGAGACATAATGCTTGCCTTCCGCAAATCAGGCTTATAAAAATACCCGTTCCGACCCGCATATATGCCTTATTTTGGACAAACACTTACAGGAAATAGAGCCTTATACCGAATTAACGCTGATATTGTTAGATGACAAAAGTTCTCGTGATTTTATACGAGGACGGGTCATGAAACGACTATAACTTCGTGGCCGCAAAAGATATAAAGGAGATACATAGTAATGATTTACTTAGAGATCTGACGTTTGATAGAGCATACCTCCTACATGGTCTGTATCCCGATTACCGACCTTGTGGATTCGTCTTTTAGGTAATCTCTGCTGGTTGCTATGCGAAAATCAAGAGAGAACCGTTTTCGGTTTATTTGGGACTAAATCGTCACTGGAGGCTTGTTTTTTTTATTACCGTTTTAACGGGGTACTCAGTACATTGTAGTGTATGTCTCTTTCCACGATACCCGCCCCCCCCCCCCCCCCCCCCCCACTTATCTGTCAGCACCGTGGCCCCGTTGGGTGTTGAAATCACAAAATCTCACTCGGTTGAGCGTCACGAAAACTCACCCGTTCTAAACCGAAAAAGCGCACAAAGCCCACGTGTTCGGTCATAGAACGTTGAAAATTGGGCATCCCGTCCGCTCTGCCATACACAAACAACGTATCGTCTAGTTAGTACTGCAGTGGGTGACCATGTGGGAATCCTGGATACCGAACTCTTTTGTTGCTTCCTTTTCATTTTTTTTCTTTTTCACCATATTACAATATAGGAAGGCGCGCTTCATACAGCACATTCGCATCACCGAGTAGCACTGTATCCCTTAAACCGTCAGTCAGGCCGAATCGAGGTCAGCGGCACCCAAACCACGGCAACCGCGATTAAACCAACCCATACAGTGTGGAAGTTGTAGTCTTCGGCATGCCTCCGCATTCATGATGGGGGTCGTGATAGAAGTTTATGCCTCGCGCTTCTTATATCACGGTTACCGGGTTTCAGTGCTGGTTTTGATTTAGAAAACCCTGCCGAACCCCTGTCTAGTGAGATCTTAAGCGCCGGGCTTAGTAATAGTAAGACTTTCATAACTGTTGTCACATAACGGTTGTCACGACCCCGACAGATTTGCAGCTGTACGAGGTAGGCCCGAGTATTCTCGACACCCGAGTACTCGGCACGGGAAAGATAATTACTACTGTTCCCTGTTTTAGATTATTATAATTCACCCTCCCCCCCCTTCGCTTAAGTACATCTAGGTATCCAGGTCTACTACCACCCAGACCTGCTACCATCCACCTGGCCCACTCCTGTTCCATCCATTCCCCCCATCCTACACAAAGCAAACTCGCCCCTCCCAGTGCATAGCCCCCGGACCTTTACCCCAACAGGTCCTGGATATAGAATGACCCACTACCAAGAGGTCCACACGTATCCTCGTGTCCCCACCTTATGCAGGCTCTAGATAAGAAGACTACAATTATTAGATATATGTTTCTCTTCAGAGCATGTGCCGGCTCTTGAAGGTTACGTTTTGAAATATGTTTAGTAGGCGTTAGAATCATGGACTATCACTCGGTATAATATCTTGGCATTCCGCCAACCATAACCACCCATGCCAGCACCACGCACAAGAAGACAACAGCTCTCCCAAAAAGCGTCAACTCGCAAAGTTTTATCTCACGAAACTCTGCAGCCCATTTCTCGTATATCCCCAGATTCTCTGGTAATATTCAACTATGCACGACAAATTACAAGTCGGAAGTACTCAAAATCCTCCACTCAAAAGATACAGAAAGCTCAGCCCCTCTTGGCCCTTCACGTACCCCCCACAAACCTACATATACATAATAAGCAAATACTGATTCAAGACTAATGACACTCCCGTCCCCTCTGCACGGGTACTACTCTACATGCAATCCGTAACCACGCGTCCCCACTACTCCGCTGCCCCATCCCTCCTCATCGATGAAAATGTGGAGTGCTCCACACCGGCCTCATAAGCCCACCTATCACGCACTCGCGCTACCTTTTCTGCCAGAAGCGCAGCGGCCGCGCCGCTGGCCTTGGAGGACTCTCCGCCCCGGTTCCGTGGGTTGTGTTTTGTCTTCTTAGAGCGCTTCTGTTTGGTAGGTTGGGGCTGGGACGCTTCTTTCCCGTCGACATTGCCGTCAACAAATTCGCTGGCCCCTTGATTCACTGTTTTGACTGCTGCGCCTCCCATTATTATGTCCTCCTCGCTTTGGTGTTCGGCTTTGATTTCACTGCTTCCATCGAGAAGTCCACGGTCCTTCATGTCTTCATCGGGCGGTATATGCGCATCGTCAGGTTCGACATTTATGGGTACCGCCGAAGACACCCCCGAGTCGCTCTCAAAGCAGCCAGCCTTATGTCGTTCTCCACCACTCGAAATTAACACCTCTCCTACCTTTCTCTTAGCAACTATCCGCTCCCCCCCGGCGCTGGCACCTCGACAATCCCCACTCTCTTCCTTGTCACTCTCCGAATCCATCTGGTCCGCATCATGGCCTTTCAAATCCTTCAAAACCATTTTCATACTGACACGCTCCACCCGAGCTTCGGTGATCTTGCCCTCGAGCGTCTAGACAATCAGCATAATTCTGTCGCATGTAAACACCACCCATTAGAATAGACTCACACTTGTATACTCGTGCATGAGATTCAATGTGCTTTCCAGCTCATCCAAACGCGCGAGATTGATCTCCAATGCACGTCCTATCGCTCTAATCATCCTACTATTAGCCAAGGAGCACTCTTCACCTGTACCCTGCTCCTCGCCATCATCCACTTCTTCAGGGCCACATCCAGGATGTTCCAGTAGCCACTTGATCTCCATTTTACCCTTCTTGGAGTCCCATGGTTCCGACCAGTCTGGCGGGGGATCCAGGGCTAGGATAGGAATGTTCAACCTCGTGGGGGTTTCGGGGCTATTTCCCCTAGAAGATACGGGGTCCTCAGGAACGGTAGGCAGCGCACAGGGGTTTGGGGTTTTTGTGGAGGTCTGAGATTGAGAAGGGGGAGATAGAGGTGGAAGCGCTTTGAGTGCAAGCTCTAGGTGGGGGGGTAAACGTAGAGGTGAGATTAGTCCAGGCGCGAGGCGGGCATAGAGGTCGGATAGCTGGGACGACGGTACTTCAGATACGCGGCTGGGGAAGTCCTGGTGTGCGGTTGGTCTAGACGGGTGGTTAGCATGTGTGTTGGATATGTAGTTGGGATGACGCTGGCCGCACTTTGATTTAACGGGGGTCAGGGGGGGTTCCGCTGATTCTGGAGTGGTGACATTCATGGTTGCAAGTGGTGGTGGGGCAGAGGGGTCGCTGGCTGGTGAAGGTGACGCGGAGGGGGGGACGGTGGAGAAGGAGGAGGGAGTCGTTGGAGAGAATGGGGTTAACGGGGAGGAATGGAAGGAAGGGGGTGGGGACAAGGGGGAAGAAGGGGAGGAAGGAGTGGTGCCGAGGCCAGCGGTGGGAGTAGGGTCGGGAGAGACTGATGGGGAGGGGGGGACTAGAGAGGAGCCTGGCATGGTGAGATACTGGTTATGAGGTTGGAGATGGAGGTGGAGTAGATAAGAATGGTGGTAATGTGAGACGGTGAGGAGGGGAGTTCGAAAACCTATTTCTAGAGAGATGGAATTTGTCTATACCTGTCGTTTATCTCAAGATCTTTGCTGGCCTTGAAATCCGGAAAAGATAAAGTTGGCTTTTTGCACTCACACTTCTTTGTGGAGAGTCACGTCTCATCACCAGGAGTGTCGTGGCTTTAGGTTGTTTGAGTTGAGTCGATGGCTTTTATGTATGGTAATTCAATCTACCATCTCATCCGTAAGTACATGTATTAAAACAGAAACCAGCATCATCTCAGGGTATGAACCGATTGCAACCGCACCTACATGTAGTATTGTACCGTACCCCCCAGAGGTTTCACGAACGTGCTAATCCACCAGGCAGCAGTCGGCCAGCAGTAGACCCGTGAACCTTTCTAGGCTGGAATTGAGGTAGCTATATATGTATATATCTATGAGTTGCACCTATGCAAGTATCCACTTTCAGGACAACAAGACCACAAAACATCACAGATAAAAGCAAGACCCTCCCTCCCTCTCTCTCCCTCCTGCCATCTCTCCACCCATCTTTTCCAACCACCAAGACGTCGGCCACCACTCCTACGAGGGTGGACTAAGAAAAAAACTACCTGTACTTGTAGCCAGTCAGTCACATGTAAGCGCACCATTTAATTCCTCCCTTATCGCAGCTGCCAGGGCCCCAAAAAACTCGCTTATCTTATCGGGCATCGATAAGAGAGCCCTTGCAGGGTCCAGCCAGGGATGGCGTCATTCACGGACACCTTGGGGATACAGACAAGACAAAAGCTAACCAGCCAGGTACAACACAGCAGAACTTACAAGAACACCGCCGCGATCCTCTCTCCGTTCTATCCCACGCCCACTCTCACCACCACCACCACCACCACTCTCTTTAAGTAACCAACACCAATAACCCTCCTCACCTCCAACAAACAACCCACCATCAAGATCCATAATGACACAATTCATCGGCCCTGCACTCCCCCCGTGTCCTATCCCGCCCTACCTCCTCCCCGACATCCTCCAGAACCTTCCACACCTCTCCCTCCTCCCCTGCCGCCTCGTCTGCCGCCACTGGAAACACACACTCGACAGCACCCTCCCTCTGCGGCACCGCCTCTTCACCGCTCCTCCCCCCCGTTCCTCCTCCACAAGCACCTACGACCTCAACCCCGTCTTCCGCACAATCGACTACCACCTCCACGCCCACCTCGCTGCACGAAGCCACCACACCGGCCCCCTAAAGCACCGCATCGCCTTCCGCCTCAATAACCACTCCTTCCACGACTCGTACGTCGCCGACACGTTCGCGACCGCCCCCGCCGCGCGGAGGGTCAAGGTGACGCTGTGCGGCGGCTCCTGTGTCGTGGAGCGCGAGCACGGCGTGACAGTGTGGGACTTGATGGCTGCGCTGGATGAACTGTTTGTCACCCCCGCTGAGCTGCCTCCCGACTGATCTAGATGCTAACGCGGCGGTGTTGTGGTCTGTAGGGTGAAGGAGCGCCACGAGCGACAAGACGGCGTCCAGGCGCCGGCCGCGCGACAGCTGGAGTGGGATTGTACGCAGTTTCCGTAAGCCCCTCTCTCCCCCTCGCCCCTTTCTGCGTTTGGAGAGACACTAACCAAGCACGGTAGATTCGCGGGCTTCCGCGTCGTCGCCGCTACAAGCGACGGGGTACACATCAAGCCCGAGTTCCTAAACCTGTGGGAGGTAACGCGGTGCATTTCGCGCGTGCCCATGGAGGCTATCACGGCGCCGCCGGTCATCACGTTTGATGTCGAGCATGATCTGTAGCTCCCGTCACCGTGTAGATTTTTTTCGGTTTTGTGTGGTTTTGTGTGCGTGTTTTGTTTCTGGCGGGAGTTTTTTGTGTGTGCGCGTTGTGTGTGTAAAAGTCGAGGTAGAGGTAGATCAGTAATAATCTTTCATTCGTGCATGCTCAATCAATTGTTGTTGTTGAGTAGTTATTAAGCAGGGCTGGCTGGCGTATTGGGCAGCCACCATGCAGAGCAGTGATCGGCTGTTTCCGATTGGACAATTGGAACGTAAGTCCGCTCCCCTGCCCCTTACAGAATATGATCACACCAGTGATATGCCCTGTCCCGCGGAGCTGCAAGCGGGCACGGACGGAAAAGTTTATTTCGACTTCACTCTGCGGTGCTTGCTCAGGGGCTGAAGTGCAGATGGCGGTGGTGCAGGTGGGTCGCCGGTGCAGGTGGGATAGTGGAGATTGAGGGTCATGTGTGGTCACTCATTTGGCTTGGCTGTGGTTGGTGGTGTGGGTGGCTTGGCGGTGGAGTGCTGCTAGTGTTACGGTAGTAAGTTAGGCAGTTACACAGTTGAAAGGTGATGCTTGGATAGGTAAAGAGGGGGGGGGGGTGAATCAACTGAGGTATGGTGTAAAGAGATGAGTATTCGATCGTGTAGTACCTAAACACCCAGGAGAGTCTTCGTGTAACCCAGTCAACGAATAGGTGGGGGGTGGGTGTGTATACATGTAATGTATAACAGGTCTGTATTATATAACCTACCAATTCACTATACCATCTGGGTATATATCCTTATTAGATGTAAGAGGAGACTTTGTTAGAGGCGGCTGTGATGATCATGTGTATTGGTGGTATATATCGGTGAAGTTATCGGTGGTAGTATGTACCGGTAGCGTGTATCGATGATGTTATGTATCGGTGGTATATATCGGTGGTATATATCGGTGGTAATACCAGTGGTGTGTATCGATGACATGTATCCATGATGTGTATCGTAGATCAGTCTGTCGGTCAAATGTCTACAGAACAACAATTAGCAGAATCAACAACTGAAGACCACGGGGTTGTGCAAGACTAGTAGATTAATGGTGTAAGAACCGGTTAATCTTTTCGTTTTTGTTCTCCCATTTAGCGTCTATAGTTAGATACTGGAGCGAGAAGCAGAGGTTTTGATAGGCCTCAGGTTATATGGGCCGGCCCGGGGTTCGGCCTTCTGGGCCGGGCTTGGGCCAGGGTGTCTGGGGCCAGGCCAGGCCAGGTCCTGAGGCGATTGAGGCCCGGGCTTTATGTGTCATTTATATGGGCTAAAATGGTGCATATTTTAAGAATATCTATCATCTTCAATCCTCATTTCTCTCTATGAAAAGAAGATCTCTGAATAAATATGAGATTTTATCACAATAAACAGTTAAATATATTTTCTTAGAATCATATGAATTATCAAAGAATCCCGGGATTAGGCCCGTATATATGGGCCAGGCCAGGCCCCGGTTGGGTTTGCTGGGCTTGGGCCAGTCCAAACGTGTTTCGGGCCCGGGATGGCCTATTAAAACCTCTGGCGAGAAAGGAGACAAAATTTGCTGCTATTATCTCCCTTTGTGTCTGTCCAAAGTCGATAACGCTAGTGACAACTTACAATCGCAATTTTCGTAAGTGATGGGATTCCCGATTTCCGAAGTTCTGTGTACAAAGCTGAAAATACATGTCAAAATGATGCTTCTGAGGAATATAATAGGGATAAGGTATCGGGATAGTAGTGAAATAGATACCAAATTCCCACTCTATACCTCTTATCTGCGTGTTCTTTCTCGGAAATTCACGTAAAGAATAGTATCTGTAAATTCAATCCAAAATAACCCCATGCAAGATTTCTACATTGACTTGTAGTCGCTGGCCGCGTTCTGGCATCCAAATCTCGCTGATTGGTCGTTCATGCGGTATTGTGTGGGATTCTAATGATGTTTGTGGTGCTGAATATAGACGGTTGTGAGGATGTAGATGGTGTCTGGTTGATTAGTACCGGAAACCCCGCCGTATGCCCATGGTCTTGGCACTGCGCGTTTCCGGCTCTTCGCGTGTTAGTCAGCGCTGTGTGTAGATAGAAATTTACAACCGGTAGAAGGAGAGGGTAGACCTAATAAAGTGTAACTTATAGCATATTGATAAACTAAACCTGTATCGTGAGAATACTGCTCTATTTTCCTGCCATATTAACTTTATGAGGTAACTAGAGACACCAGAGGCTATCATCTGGAGCGCTTCCCAACAGGTTTTCCATCTTCCCGGGGCTTGTATAAATCCTTACGAGTATACTAGATCCGCAAATCCTCCCTCAATCCTTGAGGCCAACGCATTTCTTTCCCTTTGTCGTCGTTGAATAGGTATTGTAGGTATTCTTCTACACACTAACATACTTTTAGATATCACCGTAATCGAACAGATGACCGGTCACACAAGACGTCGAAGCTATCCTTCAAGCCATAATAAAGGCGATTAAAGGAAAGCCAAATATGGGAACTTCAACGTCTTATGTGACCGGGCGCCTATTCGAATTACAGCGGTAAGCCGGACGAGGCCAAAAATATGGTGTCCAGTAATACAATCTCACTGTTAGCATCGTTTTACAATAGTGATTCCACCCTTAAATACTCGATTTGATAAACTTACACACGCAGTAGAATATTCTCGGAAACCTGGCCATTTGTATAGTGATTCTCGGATCAATGGCTCACTGGCGAATCTGGTTCAATGGCGGACCTCCCCCGTCCGACTGCCGCCTTGTGATTGGCCAAGGATTCCGATTGGCCAATACCGACTAAGGTTCGCCAATGGCCAAGGAATCTTTATAGTCTAGGGTAGAAATCTATTATCAATTATATTCAATTAGTTCGAAATGTTTGTTCTAGACCGCAGCACTCAGTATACTAAACACAGGCTATAAATCGACCTTGATAAACAGTGGGTTTGCACGAATTACCGATCAATTGGCCAGCTGCGAGTATTCCTGCCGAGAGCATTTCGTCGAATTCCGAATTGAAGAATATATAACTCAGGAATACAAACTTTCAATGACCAACTTTAAGCTGCATAAAATCCTTGTTAAGACTAGGTGTTCCCTGCTTTGCAACAGTCATCACTTCATCGTGGTTTTCCGCAACCGCCCCCCCAAG